CAAATGTAGATGCAGAATTTCCTGGTTAGAGTGTTGAGGAATTTCATTTTGTCCTAGGCCAAAGAGATAGTTATGTTACACACATGGGGTTTACACATAAAACTCCCTAGTCAATGGAACAAAGCTGATTTATGGTATTGCATGTTTTTGTTTTGAGGCATATTACTGCTTCATTAAATGTTCCTGTTAGATTTCTACTCTTATTTGATTGGATTCAAGTATAAAAGCATCAGTTCAGTCAGCTAGAGCTGAATAAAATCTTAATGCATGTAGAATGTGTACAGAGATGACATTGCGTCTAGATTCTGACCTTGTCACTCCCCACTAAGAGGCACCAAACTTAGCACCGCGGGGAATGGGGAGTGACAAAATGATGTTGTGGATTTACTGTACGCTGCAGTGACAGGAAGTCAATCGACAGCCTAAACTGTTTTGCAGCCTTCTCTTTATTTACATTAAGGTGAGGTCTCATCTTGATGTTACTGCAATTTTCAAAAATATTCCCTCTGTTCTATAAATGACTTAAGGTAAATAACCTCTCTCACATATGGTCTCACTGATGCCAATGAGATCAGATGTGCAGATCTTACCTTTTGTGTACAGGGCTAACTGTTATGGGTGACAATATACTGTATTTAAATGGTAATTACGGACGTCATCTCATAGTCAGAATGTCTCAGCACTGCAAAAAAACTCTATGAATAAATCACCTGATTGCTCCAGTGGTTGAAGTGCTTTAAACTTTTAAAAAAAATTGAACAAGATGCGATCATATTACTCTCTCGTATGAGTTAAAAAGTTCAGAAAATCAATAAAATATTTTCTAAAAAAGTTTTATCTTCCACAATGTCATGTTCCTGCAGCAACAACACAGATATTAAGTTCAACTGCAAGACACAGATGCTGAAGCAGATTCTGCTTCAAACAAGCGATTACTATCAACAGACACAGATGGCATTTCTTTGATGGACAGCCTCACAAGAGAGTGGCAATATCTGCAGCCACTTACGGTTTATAAGATAAATCTTATTTCTGTTGCCAACTGCTGGTTCATTTGATGATGATGATGATGATGATGATGATGATGATGACTGCATATTGCTGTGCTGTTCCATAGCACTGTTATCTGTTGTTACTGAGATGACACCAGTGTTTGTTCAGTATTGAAGGGGGCTCGAAGACTGTACAGTCCACCAATGAGACAGCTATTACATTACTATAAACTCTATGCTTTGAATTATAGTATAGGAGGATGGTATTCCACATCATAAAGAAACAAAGAACTCAAAAAGACATTACGCTATTTTAGATTGTACATGTGTATCCCGTGGCTCTGACAACTAGTTACTGTACATGCCGAAACCTGTTCTACATCAACAAAACATTGCTTTTGACTATACTCATGGGAAATGAAACCCTAAATTCTCTTATAGAGCCTCTTGTATGTTCAGTTTCGGTCTGTAAAAACATTTAACACCCGGCTTTCTGGCACAATGAAGCCACTTGGGATGACGTTGGTATTTAGTCATACTTGGTCTCCAGGCTGTGCTGGATTACGCTTAAGGCTCTTTGTTTTAGGGGGGCTTTTACTAATTATGCACCACAAATTACACCAGTAAAAGGGACTGATCAATTTACACAGGAATTCAAATTTGGTTTTGGGTTTCATACATTAAAAGGGATTTATCCTGCTACCAGAAGACTGACATCAGTTTACAGTACACAAGTAACAGTAAGGATGGCTGATATGCATCTACAAACATATTTGATCTGTCGGGTTCAACTACAGCCAAAAAGAGCTAAACCTTTTTATTATGATTCAGTCATAAAAAAAAGTTCAGGTTTGAATGTCTGTTGACAGCAAAAAGCTGACTCTTTTCTTCCTTCCATACTGAGCTGTAACTGTGGCTGGAAAGGTGACTATTTTTTACAAAACAATTACATCCCATGGAGAGATTTGTAAGAATCTCAAGTTTATCTTCTGGCAAGGAGTGAATGCTACTTCTCCACTATCCTCTCTCTGCAGGCTATGCTGTCTGCCAACTTATTGGCGTTTTCATTAATAATGGTGTGAACTTTTTTTTTCTTTTTCTTTTTTGTCTCAGGGCCAGACGCCTCCAGAGGCCACCATGTTGTAGTCAGAGATAAACGTACAGTGCCTTGGCTCAAGTGTTCGGCTGAAACCGTTCTACTGGGCTAGTAAATGGAGTGTGGGTGACAATAGGTTCCTCTACACCTGAATGTGCACAGATGCACAAGCATTGTGTCTGTGTGCATTTAGTTATAGATAAACCTTAGCATTGCTGGCTACTCTACATCACATAAATGTCTGTGTTTTGCCAGATTGCTGAGTACATTAAAGGAGATCAACTAGAAGCAACAGGTGAAGGGTGAATGGTACTTAACTGAGAGACAGGACACTGCTTCAGTAAGCACTTTAGCACGTTAATTAGCACTTTCAATTATAATGACATGGTGTTTCATTATTCAGCAAGCTGCAATAACTAAGAAAGTAAAGTAAAGTTTGAAATAGGAATCGGGCAGGCAATGCAGCTATCTCCAAGCGCTCTTTGTTAAACAGAAATCATGTGCAGTGTTCTTCGTTTTCACAGTGAGTTTGCCAAGCAGCTAGCACAGACTGCAGTAAGGCACTGTGCTAAGAAATAAGCTGTGTCTAAATTCAGGGGCCTCATCCAAAGAATGGCCACAATCCCCATAGTCTCCCATGTTAAAATGCCCAACTTTACAGCAGAATCATGCATAACTGAGGGTGTGGCTACCGAGTGACAGGTGGGTGAGCATATGCTTGCCACTAAATGGCATGTACCTGGCATCTCAGCTTTGCCCATTTTGGGATAGCTGGGAGTTAGACAGAGTCAGGCTCTGACAAGATGGCGACTGTGGAGCAGCCCACTGTCAGCTTCAAAACCGCTCTTCAGAAACCTATGGGTGACATCACGGAGGCTAGCTCAATCCTTACAGTTAGTTAGAACCAGGCTAATTTAAATTAAATAGATTGTTTTTCAAACACTAGTATAACCATTGTTTCAACGCTTTTTCAATTACTGCATTTCAAAGTGTTGTTAGGACCAGTTTCACACTGAAGGAGTCATTTATATGCTGTTGTAATTCTGATTAATTATGATATGAAGTACAGAAGAAAAAAATCCTACACTTTCCTGTCGCCATGAAAAATCTTCCATATCTTTAAAAGATTCTATGATCGTAGTTCTACTGTCAGTGTATTGTTACTCATAGCATGGCTAATCGTTATCAGCTGCTTGTTGTATTTATTACAGATAACTCAAGTGTTATTCTTCCATGGCACTTACTGTTTGTCATGAATTGGAGCATTAACTATATAAAATTAAATGTAAAATAGAGAGCAATATAGACTAATCATAGTTGCTGACGGCTCAGTCTGAGCCTGGCGAGGTGTGTGTGTGTGTGTGTGTGTGTGTGTGTGAGGCTGGGTTGCAACACTGAATACATCCTTGCCCTTTCAGAATCTCCAGTAACGAAATAATTATGAACCCCTTCACATCATGCTCGAGTTGGTCTGATGACTCTGCATATTTTGACAGTGATCCGGTCCAGTCGCTCGCAGAGATTCGGTGATGAGGCCCTGACACTCTAATAGTGTGTAAGGCAATAAAAATCTGAGGGAGACATGGTAAGTAACTCTTGTTGGTGTTTGATTCCATCATGGGAGACGAGGTTGAAAAAGCAGTCAGGATGAAAACACAAAGCGTGAACGGGAATAAACAAAAAGGCGTGGTGCAAGAGGTTGCAGTAAACTGTTTGAGTGCAGCCTTGACATGCCCCACCTCTACATTCATCAAGTCATCCACCGATCCCAAGCTCTGCTGCAAATACCATTCCCATTTCCATTTTTATGTTATCTGGATGAACAACTCCTGTGAAAATGAGTTGACAGGATCACAGAGGGAGACTTTGATTGAAATGCCACCAAAGCAATCAGTTGTTACAGACTACCATATTAAGGCCTTAGGTGTTTGAAAATAATTATGGCTGGAAGGCTGACTCTTTCTGAACTATTGAACAAATTTGATTGAAAGCCCTTTGCATCAATAGCAGGCTGCCATGCGAAGTGTCCCAAAGCCATGAGAAAAGGTGTTTGTGTGAGTGTTTTTGTAAAAGCAATTTCAACACTGACTCCACAGCTTCCTCTTGGTGATTATCCGCCCAACTGTCGACCAATATGCTCCAATGTGAGGCAAAGCTTTAACAAGAACATGTCGTTTTACACACATTTACACATTTGTTGTAAATGAATCTGTTTTTTCTCTCAAACCTAACCGATTTAGGGTCGCATTGTTTAATACATCATAGTACACAAGTGTTTTAGCTACTTTTTTGTTTGTATTTTTGACAAATGACGGATTCTTTTGTGTTGATCTTCTTCCTGGACTTACCTCTATCCCTTAATTTGTTTTTCTTTGTCAAGGGTTGTTATTAATGGTTATTGATGTTGAGAGAACTGTGACCTTTTATAATTGTAAAGGGATGATGCCAATGGGGCTTTTCACAACCTTATTAATGGCTGACTTAGATTCATAGTTTATCAATATGGATTTTAGAGTTGTGGTTTTTTTTATTTATGTGGAAAGGATGACACTCACTCTTTCAACACGGATGCTTTTCAACACAGCAGAATAGATGAAAGTAGCACACTAGGTCTTTACCACATGATGAGAAATCTTGTGTAAAGTGGCATTTACAATATAAAGAAACCAAATTTATCAGATTAACTTATTATGCAAACATCTTGGACCCATAAATATCAATGGATTACTACTACACATTTCTGATTGCTGTATTTGACACCGTCTAATGGAAAGAAATACTAGTCTATTTGAACTAAATGCATAATGATGGCCTATAAATGTCCAAAGTAATTATGTAATCTGCTCCACTCATTACTATCATCACAGCATCACCTGAATACCTTCAAAGTAAAAAGTATTATGCACATGTCAGTTTTCTATAACATCTTTATTTTAAAAGGATTTACAACACAAACTGGCACCACTTAATTTAAATGGCATCTTGTTTATCCTTAGTTCTTCTGCACAAATTGTATTTCTGTACATACATACACACAAAATGTGTCCCTTCAAAAATAAATCCATGCACTATCAGTAAGAAAGAGGGTCCAAAGGTAAAAAGGGGAAATATTCAGGCAGTTCAGTGAGGTGGTGATCATCAGAAAATGGGTAATTAAAGAGCTCCCAAAGACTCTCAGACCAGACTGCCCAGGATGAAATCATAGTATGTATATGAAAGGGGAGAGTGAAAAGCCCCTGAACAAGAAAAAAGCCCCTTAAACTGTAGCAACCAATAACACTTTTAGTAACCTTCCCGATATAAAACTCTAAAGTGGGAAGAGGATACTTGACCAGTGGAAAGCAGCTGTAAGCGGCCAAAAATCGCGACTCAGTGTTTAGTTCAGTCTGATGAGTGGTTAGCGATGTTAGCTTATTAGGCACAATTTGAGACAACTTGCATTTTTAACTTGTGCACTGTTGGCTGCTGTTAACACCCTCAACAAAAACACCATACAGTCCCTGTCTCATGGTTTATCTGGATGACTACTATAGAGTCAATACTGAATCATACAGAGATGCCAAAACACTATGTGCCAAAAATGATTTTAGGTCTTATCACATGAAACAAACTGACTTCCTGTGTCTGACACATATTTGTGTTTGACCCCCAGAAGTTTAGAATATGAATTGCAAGCCACTCATTCATATGGAGTACACAGACATAATGTTCAGATTCAAGTCACGGTAGAATCTTTTTTTTGTGTGCGTTGTTCTTACTTGACCTTTGTATTGAAGTAAAGAAAATACTGGATGACTCATTTTTTGTGCACGAGAGCATCCGCTTATGGATTTTCGGTCAGCCTGCATCAAAGTGGAAGAAAGTTGTGCTTGTGCCGGCTTGGCTGAAAATACACTCAGTTGCCAGTTTATTAGGAACACCCAGCTAAAACCAATGCAGCAACAATCCTGCAGTAAATCCTCCCTTCGTGAAGGTTATAATGTTCAGTTTGTGTTGAAACCGTCTTTGAGAGGTGATGATTCAGCCGTATGATCATTTTGGAGGTTGTAACTTGTGGCGCTGTTGAGCAGAATTGCGTTATACAGAGAGGTTTTTCTGTCACTCTCATTGATATAAATGGGGTGGACAAAATTATATAAACACCTGTCAATAAAACATCATACTATTCAGCAGCACTTCAAACTACAGCCTCCATAAAGACCATACAGTTGAGTCAACACCTCTGTAAAAGAATTTCAACAGAAACTGAACATTGCAACCTTCCTGAAAGAAGGACTTATTGCAGCACTGTTGTATTAGACTGCTTTAGTTTTAGCTAGCTGTACATTATAAACTAGGAACTGAGTGTTATTTCCCAGCAAACGAAGGAGGTGATTTCCCAAGGACTTACACCATGTTACCACACGACAAAGCCACTTTGACGCGAGACTGTACTTGAGAAAATAGGAAGGACAATTCAGCCTCTTTTTCTATTGGCAGCATGAGATCTGCATGGATCTAGTAAAAGGGTTAGAAAAAGGGTTTAATATAAAATGTATAAAATCACCTTTCTATAGCAGGATTATCAAATGGATGAGAGACAGTTTTCTCTTCATCTGCGAGGAGATGCTTCATGGCAGGTGATGATAGTGCATTAGTGGCTCCAACCCCAGGGACAGAAAAGAACTTTTCTGTTAACTGGCCACAAAATTTTATCCAACGTCATCGCTGTTACAAAGTCAAAAAGACCCTCAGCAGGGGATTTCCCAAGAACAACCTTAGCTACCACCCAGAGCGGCAGTAGGGTAAATTAGCATATCAGCTACGTCTGATCCATCATTTAGCTGATGTGAGACACTTGTAACCCCTTCAAGTTTGGCATCGGTTCCCTTTCATTTCAATCAATTCCCAATGTGAATTCAAACTGCCAGTCTCAATGACAAGGAACTTTTTAAAAAGAAAATTGCTGTTTTTCAGCTGGTGAACACAATCTACCTCCTCAAATGACTGATGTGACTGTATGTGGACTCAGGCCCTAGTGTGCATGAATGAACGTTAGGTAGAGTTGAACACAGGAGGATGCAGAATGAGGAAGAGAAGAGGGGTGGCAAGAAAAAAAAAAAAGTAGATTGAAGTTTGGAAAACGTCAGGGCAGGGAAAGTGACTGATGCCTCTGCTGGCTGAGAAAAACACCCCCAAAACTTCCGTATTAGAAAATTTTATAATGTCACCTACAAATTGCAGTTACCTGCAATAAAACTCAAACTAAAAAAAAGAAAAAAAAAAAACTCAATACCATCCTCAGCAGCCTGTGGGTACATAATCCAATAAAGCTTTAAATTGACTTAATCTGGAAAATAATTCACTCTTATGATTCAAAATTGCTGAATAATCATTTTATATTAAAGAAACATGTGCAGTCAGTCTGTACACACAACCATCAGAGGGCCATGCAGTCACTTTTCCTCCCTGTAAAGAGATGACAAGGGCCGAGGAGAAATGAAAGGTTGTGCTTTTACGCTGTGCCCGCTGCTCCCGCAGGCAACGCTGTAGAGATTGTTGCGGCGTTCAGGCCTTTCCCTCGATGTCTCTGACCCCCTCTCCTGCGCCCTCCGCCTCCTGACTTGAGCTGCAGTCAGACAGGAACATCACAGTGAGCCAGCTGTTACATGAAATCAGCTTATAAATAAAGAAACAGCAGACAGCAGGTAAAAACCGCTCGGTTCACAGCAGTTTCAGATGTTCAGATGCATTCCTCACCCGTGTCTTTAACCAAAGAGGTTAAGAGGGTAAAGACAAAGTTTCTCCAAGGGGAAGGAATAAAATGAATAAGGAGAAGGTCAGGGGTTCCCCAGGAAATTTTTGGTGTAAATAGTAAATGTCCTACTATTGCCTCATTAAATATATATACAGCTTTTTCCTGCAGGTTATTGTTAGAGTTAATTAAAGTGTAAAAACTTGTGATATTAGCAGGTGTGGTTTTCATTTCAGGTGGGGAGGGCCACTTCCTCTACAATATGAGGAGGCAGAATTACCACCTCGTGGTTGTATGTCAGGTTGCAGGAAATATGGTCACGATCTCTGTTCCTGAGTTACAGCATTGAATAATTGCCAGAACATTATGACGTCACAGTGAGGTTGACCTTTTACCTTTTGGATATCAAAATGTCATCACTTCATCAGTTTATCCTATGAGACACTTGAGTTAAATTGTGTCATAATTAGTGTATTAATTCATGAGTTGTGTTTTGTGAGATCATCGTGTTGTATTTCATCAGTTCATCTTTAAGATGTAATGGATGTGAGGTTGTCGTGAACTTGAACTTTGACCTTTGCCCAACATAATCTAATTCCCTCAAAGCGTTACTGAGATATCACTTTCACAAGAATGGGACAGATGTATGTACAGACGTACAGACGTACAGCCGGACAACCCAAAAACATGACGCCCCCGGCCCTGGCTGTTACCAGCGCAGAGGCATGAAAAATGAAACTGCATTAGTTGTTTTCAAGCAGTAACTGGAAATATGTATGAAAAGTCAAATTGTAACTCATTGCAGTTCTGTAAACCTTTTAAAAAGTCACTTGAAATTGATATAACCAGATAGAACTCTAAACATTGACAGACTGGAAGAAATGTGCACAGTTAATTAATTTCTCTCTTTAAGAGAGAATTATTTCTAAATAAAAAAAAACAAAAAAACAAAAAGCGCATTGCTCCAGCTCAGCACTACTTCCCTGCTAAAAGGTGAAGCTGCTCAGTGGCCAGCAGAAAAACACCGCAGACGTACTGAGAAGCTTCCGGGTGAAACCTGTAAATATAAAGTAAGACTGTACAGAAAAGAAGTACGCATGCTCAGAAAGCTTTGGTTTGTGAGGTTTAGAAAGTGTAGAAAACCAACAACAAACTTTGCAAGTCAAGGACAAGGACCATCATGACTGCCAGAGTCTGTAGAATCCTCTTTACCTTGTTTTCTTTGTTGCCATCTTTACATAGAGCTTCCTCCTCCTCTGCCACTGTCTGATGCAGCATGCCAAGACAGGGAGAGAGGGAGGGAAGGACAGCAAAGGAGTAAAGGGCAGAAAAAGCAGAGGGGAGGGATGATGATAAGACGGCGAATGAAGAGGTAAATAAAGGAAAAAAATAAAAAGGGGGGAAAGTGTGTCACCGTATCGAGAGATGAAAGCAGGATATTATGGACAGGGTAAGGAGATATATGGAAGATTTGGAATAAAAACAGTTAACATAGGAGGAAGAAAAAAAAAATCGTATAATTGAGGAATGGAAGAGAAAGGGCAAGAGAGGAGACAGTGGAAGAAAAATTAACTGGCGTATTTAAAGACAAAGTCAAAAGAGCGAGAAAAAGGAGGCAAGTACCAGTTATAAAAGGCGACTTTAACATTCTCCTTCACAGTTTGTTGCACAAAAAAAAAAAAAAAAAAAAAAAAAAAAGGATCCAGGCATCGTACAAAACTGTTTTGAATATAACCGTTCCTTTTCATTTCAAGATGTTATTAAATATGATATATTAAATGAGGAAAGTTTCCCGTATGACAAGAAAAAAATGCAACTCAACTCTAAAAATATCCCAAAAATACTTTTTAGGACTCAGCAATACTATCCTGAGTCTTGTATCATGATCATAAGGCCAACTCTGCCCATGAATTTGACTTAGCATTATTCATTACATACTTCTACTAATAATACTGGCTACATAAAGCGTGTTCGCACCACAAAATGTTCATATTTCAGGCCTCACTTGTACGATCAGACATTATAAAGGTTCACTGGACATGGATTTACTCACTGGTAGCTGCGCTGTGTTAGGACTGGGCGGTCGTGCTGTTGATCCAGCCTCCTCATTGGCTGCTGTGCCGTCTTTAGAAGTCTTCTTATTGGCCTGTGTCTTGGACTGCTGGGCCTTAGCTGCCTGAGTGTTCACTGAATGGAGAAGCTGAAGACATAAGCACAGAAATTGTTAGTAAATCCGCCTCATTCATTGTTTTTGAATTTAACAGCGAATCAAATGTCTTTAATGTAAAGTAAATTTACGTAAAAGTAAATTAGGAAGATGTGATGTAGCTTCCTAATTTAAAGCTCCGGTACCTTGGTGATGGTGCCCACAGCTTTGGTGCGTCCTTCCCTGAACACCAGCTTCTGGTCACAGTGCAGGTACTCGGGGGTCTTAATGAAGCGGAAGTGAACTGAGGCCTTGTCCCCTGTCCTCAGACAGTCTTTGTTCATTGTCAGGATGGTGGCTGTCTGCCTGATGCTGCCACAGTGGACTAGTATGATGAGAGAGAGGCTCATTTACTCTTGGTAGGAATGTTTCTGGTTGACCATACACTTTTCATAAAGCAAGACCTCATAAATCCAACTGTAGCTGCACCCAAGACAAGACATACAAAGGCTGCATAATCTGGTGCATATCGACGTTAAAGGGATGCGACGGTGTTATCACTAACCCATGGCCTGGTATCTCGGGGATATCGTAGTTGGGTGATGAAGCACCAAAATCTCAGCCTCAAACTCCCAGGTGGCCTGTGGCATCAGCTTTGGGGAAACCATCACCATTCCTTTCCTTATAGATGAACGTTTGATCTGAGAAGAGGGAAAGAAAGTACAGAAAATAACAGCAGGAAAAAAAAAAAAGACAAACAAAGTTGGAGGAGTGGTGAAGTCAAAAATTAGAGACAGAAGAGTACCTGCACCCACACGTTGGGATTTACATGCATTACAAAACTGATTATAAAGTTAGGAAACTAATTCATATGCATATTAAATCCAAAAGTTTCAGAATAATTATCTTTTTCAGAGGTTTTATTTAAAACTTTACTTTGTTTGAAGTTGTCTACGTGCTGAATTTGCAGCAGGTAAAAGCATTAAATGTTCTATGACGGAAAATTCTCCCACATACCTTTTTGAGGGCAAAAGATGCCGTCTGTCCACCGCGAACCTCTCTGACAGGCATCCTTTTACGGTGGATGGATTTTACAGCAATGGGGATAAAGGTGCCAAGCGGGTCCGGGCCTAAGAGCAGCGTGTCGTTGAGCCGTATCAATCCGCGTAACGTAGTCCCTGAAACTACTGTGCCCACACCCTACCGAGAGAAGACCAACAAGAGGTCAAGTTAGGATCTGTCGCTCTTCTTGTCTTTGTGCTGTTTTCATCTTTAGAGACAGTCTTCATTAATATGAAGCCACAAGAGATTACTTTCCAACAAATGATGTCTTTTACTTGAGGATTTTCTACTTAAGAGGGTAAATGACAATAGCTGAAGCAATGAAACGTCACACTTTATCATGAATGTTCAGCCACAATCCTCTTTTCATCCTCAGAAAGTACAACTCTGTGCACTCTATTTTTTCCACAACCATGTCAACTTCCACTGCTTTCACTCAGCTAGCAATTAAAGAAGAAAATATTTAAGCTTTTAATGCTGTGAATGTGTTTTTGCAGTGCACATGATGTGCTTGTGTTTACCTTCTGCTCTGCTGTTAAAAGCAGTGACAACCTTCCTCTGCGTACAAATACTGTCAGTGTAATGTCACCGCAGTCCCATTCACATTCACAGGTTAGGTGTTTGACAGCGAGCGCACAGATTCAGTTCAGCGCTTCAGTCGAAGACATTTTCCCATGACACACTGCTGCTGAGAGACACATTGGTTTTTCAATCGGTCGTAACCCGCAACAGCAAAAGCTCTCACTCTGCTGTTGTGTCTCCGCATGGGATTGACCACTGTCAACCCTTCTGTTTGCTCTGCCCCTGTTGGCGACCACTTTCATGTGTTGAAAAGAAAAGAGTGGAACCCTGAAGAGAAAAGAGTGACTGAGAGAGTGTATGTTTGATTTCATACCGGTACTGAGTACGTGTCATCTATCTGGAACTCTGCAGGCTCATCGTTGCTAAAGGTGGTCCGAGAAGACAGGAGGTTCAAGAACATCTTCAACAGGTCCATGTTCTCCCCCGTCACATTTGAGATCTGGAAAATTGGACACATCCTGCAGAGAGAGAAAATGTCAGAGAACAACAGAGGGAATGTGACATTTAAAAATTACACTCTGTTCTGTTTAAGCTCTATTAGTTTCAGGAGTGGTGTTGCGTAGTCAACCCTATCATCTGACCTTCATGTGATGGCAGTCCCTTCAAGGACTAGCACTTGAATATTTACTAAAGTTTGAGATTTAAGACATCTTGACTAAATCAAAGATGGAAGAAAGAAGAAATGCATCTGTCTTACTACCTAGAACACAAACTGAGGCTGCGATAACAAGAATCTCTCCAACAAGATTCAATATTTACTCCAAATTATTTGTGGCTTTAAATCTTAAAATATTATCAAATCAATTCAATTTCTAAAACCAAAACACCCCTTTCAAAACAGCAGCATTGAAGTGGTCTGATAACATTAACAATGCAGCTACTGCATGTACCTGTTTTGCTGTGTGCAGCAGCCATTTTCAAAATACCAGTGAAAAGCATAGAAGATTGTGATCAATATTACTTTTAAAAGGGGCAATGTGTAAGAATTGACCAACTGTACAATTCATACTCCAAACAAAGAAGGGGAAGCATATTACCAGAGAATCGTATCGTAAGAAACAAGGGAATGTACTCTTTGGTCGCTCCTCCCCTCTCCAGTTCACTTGCTGATCCACTTTATTTCTCTTTGCACATCCCCAGCTTGATTCTCTCTCTTTCCTGACAGTGTGGTCCAGTCTTACCGCCCGTCCGTCTCCCTGTAGTTTGCTCTTACCTCTCTGAGCTGAAGTTGGAGGCTGTGACGATGACATCATCCTTGTTCTGGACCAACACTGGGATTTTCCTGCAGCCCGGTGACTTTAATAACCTCTGTAATAATTTTAGTGTCTCTGCAAATAAACACACAGATATCCAATGCATGAGTAATTCTCAAAAAAAAAAAAAACATCGGCTGTCACAGCATCTGAGAACACAACACACAACTTAGAACCACAAGTGCTACTTGTGGAAAAAGTAACTCCAGGACTCCTTGTTTTCTAAACTGCTCCCATTTGCAGGTTGTGAATTTGCTCTTGCAGTGGTTTGCTATTTATGCTAACTCAACTCTTCCTCTTTTTGTTTCACATTACAACCCTCCAGCAGTTTTGGGGGTGCAAATTCCTCTCTTTCCCTGAGAGGCTTTTATGGTGAGTAAGTGTTGGATTTTATACGCACTGACTTAACATAATTAAAGTAAAGCCAAGTAGTGTATAAAAGAAATTAGTGTCTACAAGCGTTTTTTAACAACAGAACGATAAGTATGGCATGGCTGTTATAGTATTGATGTAATTGTTGCCGTGGGAATGTAAATTATACTGAATTTAGCATGTAAGACGTTGTTCTTGCTGATAACTGACTTCTCAATGTGTTTGCAGTCTGAACATATGGGAAATCCATCGATAACTTATCTTACTTTGTTGGATGGTGTGTGGAGTTGTGAAGCTAGTTACTAAAGTTGTGCAGCTCTGTAGTTGGTATCTAACACCAACAGGTCTAGGATTTCAAGAGGGAATACAGCGGCCTGTCTCTTTACCTTGCAGGATGTTGGCTGGACACATGTCTATCTTAGTAACCACTACAAACACTGGTACATTTAAAGCCAGTGCCAGGCCCAGGTGCTCTTTGGTCATGCCAACGATGCCAGCGTTGCTGCCGACCTGAGAGGAGAGAAGAGGAACAAAGAGACGGGATGGTGAACTAGGCAATGAAAATTAAATATGAACAGAAATTTTAAAAATGGTGTAGGATTTTGCTAGTTTAGTAGCAAATATTTGAATTTTTCCAGATAAATAATCATCAATCTAAGAAACACAACCACACGTGCTTCCCTTTCCCTCTCCCTTCTCTCACCATGAGCATGCAGAAATCAGGCAGGTGTCCGGTCATGCCGAAGACGGTGGTCTTGAGGTACTTCTCGTGGCCGGCCAGGTCAATGAAGGTGATGACCTTTGAGGATTTCTCACAGATCTTGGTCCAGTCCAGGCCGCCACCGTGGCTGTCTGGCTTGTTCACCACCTAAAGGAACAGAGGGAACAGAATATGATTTATTGAGTATGTGAGAGAGAGTGCACAAAAAACTGAGAAAGAGAACAGATTCCCTTCTTTTCAGTCAAAGTTGGCACATGAAGAGAAATTCATAACTGCACTTTTATTTGCAGATAAGCACAAGTGATTTTTTTTTTTACATATTTGAAGGAAAATTTAGAGATGATTTCGACATAACACATTAGCATGGAGGTTTGCTGTCAAGCAAGATTGTCATCTTAAAGAAACCTGCTCTTCCCGTGTCACACCACAAGCATCCAGGTAGAGAGGGGGCTTATGATGGACAGTTGTAAGCAAAGTTTTGATCTGTGCTCAGTCCACTTTAACGCTGCAAAAGTCATGTCTTTGCAGATCGGTAGAAGCTCACCTGTCCCTCCTGATCGAAGCCGAGGATATCATTGCCCACACTGCTGGTTCTGCCGCTCTCCATTTCATGTTTGTGTCTGAAGAGCTTCTGGCGAGCGAAGCCTCTGCCATTGTCCAGCTCACCATGGGTCAAAACCCCCAACAAGGTGCTCTTCCCAGCATCCACATTCCCTACAACAGCCACTCTGGAGACAAGGTGAAGGAGAGGAGGGAAAGTGAGAAATACAGGGGCAAGTATAGAGAATTACATGTAGATACAATATGCAATAGTGCAGCGAAGTAAACACGTGCATATCTTGCCTGTGACTGCTTTAACTGAGCCTGTATCTTGTATATAGTGTGTTATTCTGTTCTACCAATGATTCTCATATTTTTGTTATTTTATCATTGAGCAGCATTGCTGGAGATGCTCAGTGCAAACTTTGCAGAATGATTAAAAGTTCAATTAAACTTCAGAGAATAACTATCATCTCTCAAATCCAATTCCATATCAACATGAATGAAACCCACATAAGACACGACACACATAGACGGAAAAGACATGTCAAAACAGAATAAACATTGCCAGCAGCAAAGTCAGGTGCAATAAGGAGTTGAGCTGTAATAAATCATAATCTGTCACATTCACAGGGGAATGGAAAATCCATCAGCCTATTTTTATCTATACCCATGATTTGTTTTCATTTGTATCGCATATATACATACGTATATACGTATGCTATATATACATATAGCATACGTATATATATATATATATATATATATATACCTATTTTGAAATGCGTAATATATATGTAAATGTGTCACTTTCAAGGAACTAAACAAAAAAGTTCAGTTGCAGAAAGATTACAAATATTACATATTTATGCCTGAATTTCATATGAACATGTCCGTGATATCAAATGTGCTTTTTAAATGATACCACAGAACATGTCTGTCACACAAGCTGCGCTGTATTGGTTATGTAATGGATATTAATATACTACAATTGGATCAAAAATAGATGGGAGATCGGCTTCTGCTGATAACACAGGATTGAAGAAAAGACTTAGGTCACTTAGGATTCAAGAGTTTTGCACATGAGCACTTTAATAGCTGATGAGGTAGGGGTAACTATTACTTGTTTACTTTCCTTACCCAGAGCTCCTATAGTGCTTTAATTGCTGACTCCTATTCTTTTGGTTTTACCTAACTTCCAGGAAATCCTGTTCTCCCACCCGCCGTCTGATGAGGTAGTCCCGAATTTTTCCGCCAGTGTCTGTCCTCTCCCTTAGCAGGATTAGGTCAGCCTCAATCTGTTCACACAGCGACCGCACCGTGGCTACCGATGCCTCCATGTCCTTCTCATCCAGGCCATAGTCCCCTCCATCTAAAGAGAGAGGTGTGAGGGGGTAAGTCAAAAAGAGCAAGAAGTAATGTAAAATTACACATTTGCTATTGGATGTGTGTTTTTATCTTGAGCACCTGATGAACAATAAACATATTCTTTGTCTGCAAAATGTCAGGGTTAATGTAAAGCCTCACCCTGGGAGCGGCTTGCTATATGACAGGGTGGTGACCAGGAGTATAAATAAAACACTGAAGGGAGACTTTGTGGAAGAAAGAATAAATAAACAGGTGGTTTATGGGAGAGACAAAGTGGGTGTGCTGTTAAGATGAGAAAACTTAATTTACTGTAACCACAGTACCTCCCAAAATGACTACACTATAACCAGTCTGCTTCAGATGCAATCCAAGAACAGCATAGGATGCCATAGGTTACTACATAAAGATATATCTTTCTTATGTAAATACTAATTTGCAGAGAAATCAAAACATCCGGTGTCTTTTTCAGGGAAAATGAAAAATGAAATTCAGCTCTCTGCTGCTCGCCTGGCCACATGGTTTAGGGTTAGAAGACTTGGAAACAAAAACTACCAGTCAGGCCAGTATACCAGTCAGCTGGCTGCTTGTCCAGTCACAAAACAGACATCCATGAACTGGTGAACAAGTGACAGTCCCTGTGCTGAGCAGGGAAAAATGACACCCTTTCACACATGCACTTTGACCCTTCCCCCAAAAGACCACATGGGTCAGACATGTTGCTGTAGCAGGCAGAAAATAACCCTGGCTGTCAACAAAAGCTCCCGCATCTGTGTGTGGGGAAGGGAATTTCAGAATGAAAACTAAATAGCAGACAAATGGGGGTCAGCTGCCTGGGAGGACATGCTGGGCCACAGCTGACAGAAGTGATGGCTCTGCGACTGCACACTGGTGGCCCGGCTTTTGCCTAAATACACTGATTAACTGCTTCCACCAAATACTTAAACAAATGTGAAACAATATCTCTCACTGCTTGAAAATGGTCAATGTGCAAATACAATGGTCTTTTTGAGCAGCAAAGCTACGCTATTCATATCTCCTAAGGTCAGCTGTGAGTGGAAAATAGACAGCATGATGGTACATTTTGTCTTGGTTTACCCTTGCTTTTAATTTTGAGGCCCCATTGTAAATTAAAAAAACAGCATGTCTGGGAAAACATAAAAAGCCTTTGGTGCCATCTATAGGATCTGTTCACCACATACACCACGTGAATGAAAAGATAATTTTCTTGGCCTGGGGTATGTCTGAGCACAGATGATTCAGTTACAGACTTCTGTCCTCTCAGTGTTACAGCATTATCTCTACACCACATCTAAAATAAACCAATCTCCCTCATTATTCAATAAGATCAGTTTTTTCCAGGTGCAAACAATTCTTTAACTTGTCAATAGTGCTCTCTTTGGCAAGTTTATAGCTGATATCAAAAGTTCACGTAACTTTAGTCTTTACTTATCGCTTTGTTCAATTATTTAAGCAAACTATAGCCAAAAACTGTACACCGCAGTAAATTTTCATCACATCTTTTTTTTTTTAAGAGATTTCGGTAAGTGATTTATATTTATTTCCAAATAACATTCCACGTTACATTCCAAGTTTTTCTTTGTTGATATACATTTTGACACATTCACATCTTGTTTTCATCATGGAGAAAAAGGAGTTGATGAATAGATTTTTAAAATAATTTTAACACTACTTCACAAATTATTGTATAAGTTTTTATGATTATTAAAGATTTACATGTTACATCTTTTACATGTTGTTCAATCAAAGCAATTATTAAATGGAGACTTTGCCCACTTTCCCCTTCATTCTCTCGGTACAAAACATAATATAACAACAACTAGATGCAGACAATTTGTTAGTTGATTGCTCCAGACATACAGCTAATATCTTGCAGAACAGGACTTCACATATCCTTCCACTCTTAACAGGTGTATGCTTCATCCTTAGGTTCCTGGAAAGTTAGTTGTCCTTACCTGAGCCCATTCCAACCACATAGATTGTCTCTCCACAGCCCTCATCTATCTGCTCCCTCAAACGTCGTAGTAATGAATCATACTGTTCCCCTGTTGGACTCACTAGGACCAGCTGAAAAGTGAGAGACAGGGAAAGAGACAACAGAGAAAAACTTGGAAAGGTCAAAATGAGAGCAAACACTGAGTCAAACAAGTCTTTGTGAGTGTCTTGAAGTCACAACTCCAACAAGTAATCTGAAGTCAAAGTTTTTGCTTTAAGGCAATGTGCTCTGCAAATCAGCCAATACAGTTTGGTTAGGCAAAACATTCAAATGTCTTAGGGTACTTATTTTCCCAGTATATAAATTACTTTAAGGTTTGGACGTACAGTAGATATACATAATGGCTGGGTAATCTGCCAGCTGCATGCAGTCACATACGCAGTGCAACATACGTGTCACTTTCTGGAGTTTTGCACAGCCAGCAAAAAATGTGCTGTGTGCAATTTACATGCAACGGGGACTCTGTAATGTAACGACACAGCATTCGTTCACCGAATCAAAACAAAAAGCTGCGTGGTTGCAACATTTTAAAACCTAACAGTACTAGGTGCAATTTACAGTGAGGCCCACCTTACTGCTTAAGTCTAAATGCTCCGCGGACTCGCCGTTTGTAGCCTCGCCGTCTTCAAAGCCCTCTACGCCGGTTGGATCGTCAGCACATCCCCGGTCAGGTGCAAACATACAAGCGGGCACTATGGACTCTGCTGCGGCTGGTATTGCAGCCGGGCATATCGCTGGTTCTGTCGTCGTTACCGACGCCATTTCTACAGATAGAAATAATGCAAACGCAGAAAAAATTAATAAACAAACTAACTTGTCTCCCTTGCTTGGCTCAACCCGCTTTAGCCGTTGGCAAAGACAGAAAGTTAGGTTGATTATCACAGGCAGTTAGCTAATGCTAACAATATATCGAACTTGCTGTTATAATATGTTAACACCCTAAAACTGAAAAAATATTTAAATAAATCGCCATAGCTGTAACATGTCAACTACATTTTTGAACTTCTGGAGAACTGAATGGTTATTGAAGCCGAATTAGATAATAAAATCTCTTATGAAATGAAGCCATACCAGACGTTGGTGGCTAGCTGACAAGCTAACTTGGTTGTTTATTCGAGTTAGCTTCGGTTTGTTGGCACTGAATGTATGACACGCCCATCTTCAAAAGGAGACAGAGGATTGGCTACCCTACTGAAAGTCACTCCCACTTCCGACGTGGAACATACGTCGGTGTTTTTGCTCGGGTGAAACCGTGAAGCCATGACCTACTTTCAGACACACACACACGAACACACACACACACAAACACACACACACACACACATTATGACATAATAATATTAAATAACTTGGAAACTAGCATTTGCTTGAAAAAAAAAAGAATTACGCAATATCATAAGGGACGCATCTGGCTTTTTCTGTTTACTGTACTTTGTATGAAGTTAACTGACAAATAAAAACTATTCATTGCATTTATTTTCAAAGCACCCACATTTTACTTTTAGTACCTAAAACCTTTGCACAGTATATAGGCAAGCACAAGATCAAATAGTTTCAAATGGAAGCTGCTGATTGCTTCTCCTGCTTTGCTCAGTCCAGTAAAATCCTAGAACACATACATACGTGAAAAATTACATTTTCATTTTCAAGTTTACATGATCATTTGAATAGAGTCCCCTGTAGGCTTCTATAATGACCTTAACATTTCTAATTTTAGCCTGTTATTTTTCTGCACCAGATGCTTTGAGGATGGAAGACTATTATAATCAATGACTGCGCATTTAAGACAATCAACCCTTTATTAAGAATTCACATTTCTTATTTGCAAACAAGTCTAAAGCCTACTTCTAAAATATGGTCATATGCTGTATTAGTTCATCATTTGCATCAATAGCTCTTAATGTGAGGGGTCCAATCAATAAAAGTAATGCAATTCCTGCATTACATTTCATTGATATTTTAATGGAATATACTCTACCTCTACTGGTATTTAACAGTCAGTGCGTATTGTGTTGTTTATGGAGTAACTGTCTTTAAGTAAGTTTATAAGTTTGTTCTGAGTACAGTTTGATTTCTATTTAATAAAAAAAAAGTATTAAGTCTGTCAAGCCAAACATGTGAATATGTGTTATTATGTTTACAATGCATGGACTGTTTTTATTTATTCTCCTGAAGTTGAATTTCCACCTGATGTTGTGGCAAACATCCTGTAATATGAAACAGAAGAGCGACCCGGTGGCTTCACTGAGGATCAAATGTCGTCACATGTGAATAGTCATTTTTTTACAACTCCCTCCCTGTTGACGGCTTCCTGCCCCTGATATCACCAGTGTTATATAAACCACTCACCTGCCTGCAGAGCTTTGTCACTCGCGGCGAAACCCACTAACAACAGCCAAGATGGTAAGTGGCATGAAAGAGCTTCATTCATAGGACATTTCTTCATCCTCCACATGGACAAATATCTGCATTCATTATCTTGTTATTCCTATCCTTATATAGAAAATGCTTATGACTTAACTTTAATGTTTAATGTCATTATAAATACACACACAGGAGATATAGTGCATTCTTGCTGTCAAAGACTTTAGCAGTCTGATTGCACTTAAAATATTCAAACACATTCACACATTTCAGATTTGGATGGTAATAAGGTCAAAGAGATATGTTTTAAAGAGGTTTGTGATTTGCAGAGTCATTAACACTGATTCACTCTGTATTGTAAAGATGTTGATGGCTTAATTTTAAATCCATAGAAAAGACAGGAAAGGTTTTAACATCTTTTTTTGTTTTTTATTGGATATAGTTTTTTTCTGTAGATGTAATTTGTGTATTTTGTCAAACACTAACATTAGTTCAGGGGTCACAGATCCCTTGATCCTTCTCACCGTCATGTGATTTGATAAAGGTGTAAGCACTGTAACCAATGAGGAGCAAGGAATCTAAAATATTCACGTATCTAAACCCAGGAAAGGCTTTACTCGTATCTTTATTAAGTAACTAACTAAAATCTAAAGAAGTGTTTGCCTCAGTCAAATCACAGTTTTCTTTAGCCTCTTCGATCCCTGTGAGACATGCATTTATTGTTAGGTATAATACTCTGGCAGTGGCCTGGGACAAGAACACGGGCATTGTGTTCGGGTGATGCACACTTCTCTTAGTTATCCTTCTCCATAGTTAGGATAACTCAAATCACCACAGGGATGAATCAGGTGTAACTTCACTTAGTTATTCTCCAGCACCTTGCCCTGTTTAGTCAATGATAAACTTATGTTTGAACTGATGTGAGATAGGGGACAAGACATGAGTTCAAAGAATATATAGTGGGTGGTAAAGACTGAGGTATCTTTGGGTGTGGTTCAGGTTTACTGGGGCCAGGATGTTGATGTGTAACCATCAGGTGATGCAGTTATGTAGAGAGGTGTGGCAATGGTACCTATCTAGTGTCTGCCGATGTATCATAGAAGGTCCCAGCATTGGGTGCCTCTTTATGGTTTTACTGTCTCTGCATGACGACCACATGTCTGAGCAAATAAAGCACCTTCCTGTTTCAGTACTCTGTACACTGTTCTACCCTGGTTGATCATCAACAGCGAAGATAAAAAACACCTAGGATTATCAATTCTCCCTCCAGAGTACACTGTGCAAACAGTCATTTAGATTTGTCTCTAAATAGTTAAATTAAAGCAAAAGCTTTTTCAAAACAGGACATGACAAACAAGATTATTGTTCTAAAAGGTAACCCCTTCCTCTTTGCACTCTAACTTCACAAACAAAACAGACACTTTACTTTAATGACTATGTTATAGAAAGAAACCCATCAGTTCCCACAATAAGCAAACACTTGGCGACAGTGGAGAGAAAAAAAATTTGTTTTTAACAGGGAGAAACTTCCAACAGACACATGAACATGAGGAACAGAGGAGTCAACAGTTTAGCCATTTAGCCTTCTCTCTTCCCAGGTGGTAGTGATCTTGGTGGCTTTTTCCTTTACAATTGTTTTTGTATAAAAGCTGTAAATCGACTTGTTTCATCATTGGATTTTCAGTCATTTCAGTTAAGACTCGTCCATCCATCCAACCATCCATCCATCCAAGTCACTTCCCATGTTCCTCTTTGTCGTTTCCCTTTACAGAAAGTCAAGGACATGACATTCAAGGAGGGGCATGAGCTCAAGATCCGCATCAAGCCCAAGGATGACTGCAATACGTAAGTTGTCCTCTTGAGATATCAATTTGTCAAGTGCTGACAGACTTTCTGAAAATGATCAGCCATCATCTCTGGTTCATGCAGCTCCGTTTTCAGATGTGGATTCAATGACATTTAATCAAGAGGAAGTTGATGTTGTGTACGATAGGTTAATATATCATCCACTTCTTCCCGTTTCATGCGCTCTTTTGACCTCTATGTCCCTGCCTTCATTCCAGCTTTGCCATCAACATCGGTCATGACTCTGAAAACATCGCAATGCACTTCAACCCTCGTTTCAGCAACAACACCATTGTCTGCAACTCCTTGTCTGGGGGATGCTGGGGTGACGAGCAATGCGAAGGAATCCTCCCCTTTTCACCTGGGGAGGAATGCAAGGTGTGTTGGTAGAGTATTAGGGTATATGTTAAGTTATCTGCAATCTCAAAATCCTGTAGTCTGAGACAACAGAACCATTTAGTCAATAACACAGATACAAGGTTCAGTGTGAAGGATGTAAGTACAGTACAGTACAGTACAGCGCAAGATATTGGTAGTGTAGGAGTCATCAAGTCAATGAACTGACTCAGTAATGCTAGTTACAGAGCTACATTTTGCTAACATTAGCCACCATAAGCTACTGCTCATGCAAGATCATGAAAGGCTGTATCAGCAAAATCTCAGAGTATTTTGAACTTTCCTGAATTTCAAATGTCAGAATATGTTATTTATTGTCTCAGAAGTTACACGGTCTCAATTTAAAGCCATATTCGCTTGATTCAAATGAAAGTACACACAATCATCAACGTGTCTTAATATTTCAAAGGTGAGTTCAAAGATTAACCTGGCAAACAAAATTGTGCAACTGATGAATCTTATAGCACAAAGTAAATTTCTTACATGTCTCTAAAGATCTTCATCACATTCTGCAGCACCTAAAATAGAAGAAAGAATGAAGTTGCATTCTTATGGTTGTTTAGACAACAAAGGCTTAAAGCTGCTGCTTTTAGGTGATTATAGTTCACACTAAGACCTTCTGTATTTGAAAGATTTCTTTTTTCTTTTTTTTTGCTGTATTTGTCACAGTCATTTGGCTCATGCTCAAGTTTCAAATTGTCTGTAGCCACAGGGAGGTTATTAGTGGGCTTGGTATCTGTGCTGTAACAGTTAGGTCAACAGACGCTGAGCTATACAATCAAGAAGGGGTTTATAGGCTCATAAAAGTTAATCACTTCAGAAAGAGATAAATAGTCTCACTTTGATGATTCTGCTCAAAATGCTGTTTCAGTCGTTCTTTTCAAATACCGGTTATCTTATCGTTTAGTTGAGCAATAATGCCAGAGTAACTGACTCTAACACTGACACTGGAAGATAAATTGTGTGTTTTGTCTCTCTCTCTCCCCCTTTCATTCATCAGTTTTACATCAACTTCAACAATGAGCAGTTTTACATCAAGCTCCCTGATGACTCCATGATGAATTTCCCCAATCGTCTGGGGGACGTCAAGTACAAGTACTTTGACGTCAGCGGTGATGCAAGGATCATCGGCATCAAGATCAAGTAGACGCCGACCATCGACTTCACCTTTGACTCTTGGTCTGTCCACCTGCTGTTTGTTGCTGAAATAGCCTGTTTTAAATTACTGAGGCGAGGCCTGATTAGTCATCTTTTCTCCTGTTGAGGCTTATAGAAATATAACCCTAGAAATGTACATCAACATGGATATTGTAATAAGAGGAAATGGCCTACAGAGGGAGCCACAGCACATCTCACCAGACTGTGTCTGCTTGACATCTCTTCAGTCACTGGGTTTGTTAATAAATGCTGTGAAAAAAAAGGAAAGAGTGCCATCTCTGTCTCTGACTCTCTGACACACACCATACAACCATACAACATAATCTCCAATTATGGTACATAAATCTTAATTTACAATTGATGTATTTTCTTTTAAATTCATGCAACATTCATGCAACAAAGACACACAATCATATATTAGAAATATATATAAAAAAGGTACTATCTGTATTTCTTTTTTTGTGTCAGGATCATTTTTCCACTCCAAGAAACCAGACTTGTTTTCACAGATGAAAAAAATTATGAAAAAAATAAATGAAAAGATGAAAGAAAACAATTATCCTTGGAAAAAATAAAAATAAAAAAAAATCCCTTGCCTTTCAGGACTTCCATAGTTCAGAGAAAGACGTCTTAGACCACTGTTATTTCAAATGTTACTTCAGTGCAAATGGAACATAAAGCAAAGAAATGACTGCATGTTTGAAAGAATCTATAAAGAGATGTCGACATACCTTTAAGAGAATTAAATCATATTACTGAAACTGTACGATGGTCATAGGTTAATTTCCCTCTATTGTATTTGCATTATTCTGCATAAAAATGTTTGCGGTACTTTTTAATTTTTAAATGCAAGTTAGTTCAAAACTGGTATTAGACATTTGCCACATAAAAAAATGTAATGTAAAGACAAAAACACAAATTAGAAACACAATAAGAATTGCCTGTAATGTGAATGTGTGAAACAGATAAAACAGGTTAATGCAAAAGGAGGGAGAATATACGACAGAGATGATATGAAGCACACTCTTACAGAGACAATTTACAGGAGGACTCAAAAGCACCGTGGTCGTGGGCCGAGGAATGTGGCACGATGCAACCACATTCCCTGGAAGGAGATGAAATATACTTTGCATGTGTGTGTGTGTTTATGAGATGGATGGCAAACAGGGAAGTAAAGGAAAACAATTTTACAGTTTACATTTCATTTCAATTAGAAAGATTTGAATTTTTAACAGTAATTGCAAAGTAATTGATTGCTGTGATTGTTCTGATCAGTATTTCTTCCAAAATATTCTCAGAACTTTTGAAAATCGTGTTTTGAATTCAAACCTTTTTTAGTTTGAAAAATGACTCGCATTTGAATCCCAAGATCCCCAGCTAATTTGTATGAATTATATCATCAGTGTCAGCAATTAGAGATTGTCAGACAGGCATGTGGGGATGTGTGTTAGATTATATAACAGAGAACAGAAATACTGTGTCATTTGTGCCGTTTGCCATCCAACCAGAAGGCTTGTAGTCAGACTCTCATGTTAGCAAACATCCACCTGCTGTGCTGAAGGTTGTAGAAAAGTGCTACTACAGAGTACAAGTGTCTCAGAAATATGACATTTTTCAGTTTTGTAGAAAATTGCTGGAACAGAAATGTCCTCTGTCAGGCTGGTGGGTGAATAACATTTTTTTCGCTTGAGTGTTTATGCTTATTCATTCTTCCACTAAAGGTCCTGCAGTGGCGTGGTCACGGCTGATCCAGGATCAGCCCTGCTTGACCCCACGGACTGACCTTTCTGGGACAAGTAATCTTTATAGTTCCGGGTCAGAAGAGTGTAAAGAAATGGATTGATGCAGCTGTTCCCGTAGGTCAGACACGTGACAAAGAAATTCACATAGTTATGAGCAGCTGCGGACAAAGCCTTGAGAGACTCTGGAGAGAACAGTTTGGCAAGCTGCCATCCCCAAAAAGGTAGGAAACAGGCCCAGTAAGCCACCACGATGCTAAAGATCATTGATACGACTCTTTGTTTGAGTCCTCTCCTTCGGACAGAGCGGCTGCTACCTCCCAAGCTAACCTGCGCTGCCCAGTAGCGCCTGGCTAACCCAACATACAGCCCAACGATTACCAACCCAGGTGCTAAAACACTTGTAAAAAACAGGACGGTGATATAAGCCTTGAAGGCCTCAGGGGTCCAGGTAGGGAAACAGATCCTCTTAACCAAACCTGCCGCAGTGGGTTTTCCCTCCCTGAGTCGGATCATCACCATCATGGGAAGCGTCAGCACGACAGCTAACACCCAGATAATCCCCGCCGCTAGGCGTCGTTTGCGGGACGAGGACCTGTGCGCGCTGAAGGGCCTAGCTACAGCGCGATAGCGCTCCAGGCTCATGGCAACCAAAATGAAGACACTGGCATGCATGGTGAGGAGATCTAGACTCAGCAGGATGCGACAGCCGGCCTCACCAAACAGCCAGTCATGGGCCAGGTAGGTGCAGACCACGAAGGGGATGGTGGAGAGGTAGAGCAGGTCAGCCAGAGCCAAGTTGACGATGTAAACGTACATGGAGCCGGTTCGGCGCAGAGCAGCCGAGCGTGTGATGATGAGTGTGTATGTGTTGCCTGCCACACCCATGACACACATGATCATCAGTGTGGCACCGAGCAGGGACGTCACCCACAGTCCTCCGCTGCCTCCGGCACTGCCACCGCTTTCCTGGGACCCTCCATCTCCGGCCCCTGGGCTCGCGACAAGTCCCAGCTCTGGAGTGACGGTGGCATTAGGAGTGCAGTTCATTGCAGGTCAGAGGTCAGGTTCTAATGTTCAAGAGCTAATTCATACAGAGTTCTTTAACATTTGGCTCCTGAAATCGGAAAAGGTTTAAGGTCTGCACGAGCATTTCACGCTGTGAGGTGAAGAGTTAGAGAAAAAAACTCTTTGAGATTTGTTAGAACCAGTTGTTCAAGATAAATCCCAGAGAAAACAACAACCGATTAATCCACAGACACAACACTGACATGGCCAGCAGCTTCACCGACTACAGAGCTGCCTGTGGCTTGCAGCAAAAAAAAATAAGGTCGTCCATGTCCTCCCATACTTCTCTTGAAAAATCGACACAGCGTTAAAGCCTCCAGCGAAGATTTAAGCCATGGGGAAGCCTCGGACATGAGGGATGTTCTCAGTCACAGAGTGCTGGAATTTTCTTCGGGCTGAAGTAGGTCTGACAAAGGTCGTTTGGGAGCAGCAGCAGGGTGGCACAGTGAGTGAGGTCACTGCCTTTCAACTGGACAAACTGTTCAAAATCTCTGATAATTAGCTCCTGCGGTGCAAAGATGTGCTTGAGAGGATTTCACTGACTTTCTCCAGAGAGTCTCACTGGGGGATGAAACATTTATAATGTCCATCTTTTAACGTGACCCTTTCTTCGTCAGCACGGTGTCCTGAGCAGCAAAGCTTCTTGTCTTGACTCTACAAATTATGAGTGAACCAACAGCTGTAATGTGCTCAGTCAAAATCCATCTTGTCTTCTTTCTTCTACATTACCACCTGAGTGCAGGCACATCTTTTTCTTTTTTTTTTTTTATACAGATCATCCATGATGCTTCCCAGCAGCGCCTCCTTATCCGTCTATGGATCCACTTTGAACACAGATGAACTTTAGCTTCTCCTTGAATCTTCAGCCCACATTTATCTCCCACTTTTAGATAATACACTGTTGTGTCTGTGTTCGTTGGAGGTTTTTCTGGTCACGCTCCTCTCCCGCCTCTTCCCTCTTCTCTTCTCTCTCTACTGTCCTTCCTCCTTCTCACCAGGGTGATAAACTAGCATGGGTCTACCGATTCATGAGGTATTCCTCTCGGGCCTCAACCTGCTGTCTCTGAGCACCAAGGTGTAGTTTTAGACACCCAGAAATCATTGACAGGGGCGACTGTTCACAGCTACACAAACAAATGTTACACAGGTGCACAACCACTGTGGGATTATTGCTTTTTTTTAAAAAAAAAACAAAGGAAAATATTTATTCATTTTAGAGGTTAAACTCTTAAAAACAAACCACCTTCATACATTTAATATTTTTCTCTTAACTCACCTTCAGTCTGATATTTGATTTGATGTAATGCTACGACATTAACAGATAAATATGTGCAGACCCAACATTCAGGAGAAATATTTTTTATTACTCATCATCAATAATTTCATATGCTATGTCAGTCAGCCTCGGTAAAAGCAAAGAAATGCCTTTAAGATAACGTATGTCACCAAACGTGAGAATCTGTTTAACTGAAAAATAGAAAAGAAAAAAAAAAACAAAAAATGAAAATATCACTAAAATGTATCAATCGGTTGTTTGATATCTATAAAAACAAGGGGAAAATAACTTATTAGTGGAATTCTTAATTGTTTCAACAAAGACTTGTGTATTACTTACCACCTGGGGGCATTGTTTCACCATGTCCTCAACAGCTGTAGCTTCAACAGCTGCTCATGTCTCAAATACTACATACATCATTATCTTCCTATTCAATGAAGAAAACACTTAAAAGTCATGTTAAAATCATGATGTAAACTGAACTCTAGTGTGTCTGGAGATTTTCCTTCAGCTGGAAGACTTTTTTGAAGTGAAGCAGAACATGCAGCGTGATAACAGCTTTCAAAATGCAGATTGTAAATGTTTTGGGTCATTAGAGTAGTTATGAAGTTTAAGAAAAAAAAAAAAAGGTCAAGGGCTTTCAGTGCCTGTCTGACCTGTTCGACTCTCGCATCTTAATAGTATTACCCAATCATCATATCACACTTACATAAAATACTTGATACAAGAAGACCGTATAACTTCTCAGCTTAACACCTTTTTCTTAAATCTCGTATTAAATATCTAACAATCCTATAAATTTCAAAACACATTTCCTAATCATGGTTTAAAAAAAAAAAAAAAAATCAATCCACTGGCAAACAGGAAGTTGTGTTTTTATGTTGCCATAGTTGATTAGCATGGGCAACAGGCACCGTGTAGAAACAGACCAAGCGTGCCAACCAGTAAATTCAAACATGAGCTACATAAAACCCAAGTGAGACGTGTTATAATACTGCCCAGACTGTTTGATTGGCAAGTGATCTCTTGGCCCCCAAAAGCTGTCACCAAAACAAAATCAAATGAAAATGATTACCTGCTTTACATTAACATATCAATGTTTCTTCTGGTCATGTATATTTTTAATTTACCAGTGAATATTGCCTTGGTCCTCTTGTTTACCAGCAACAACCACCAGTGTGACCAATGTGTAAGTGAATACAGTCCAATTTTCCCAGAAGTACTAAAGGAGTCAAGAACTGATGTGGTTTCCAGAGTCAGATCCTGTGGTGATGGACTGAGAGGAGAGCGGATGGTTCCTGTAGGCCTCTGGTCCGTCAGTGCCTGTGCTTGAACATGGCCTCCACTTGAAAACACATGAAAGTCCAAAGTTAGAAAAAAAAATACGCCCTTTAATCCAGACAAAACATTTTGTATGACCAACAATTCAAGTGTCATCAGGTCAACATTTTAATTTTTCCAATACTCTAGAAGTATCCGTAATGACATTCCCATCAGCCTCAGCTGTTCGTAGTGCTAATTTGCAAATGTTAGCATGCTAGCAAGAACACAGTAAACATTGCCTGCTAAGCATTAGCATGTCATGTCATTGTGAGCATGTTAGCAAGACAACCATTCCCCCGCTGCATCCTTTTTTGGAAATGAGACATGTTTTATATCATTTTAGCTTGATTATCTTTAGTCATTTTTTTTCTCTGGGAAATAAAGGAGGTTATCTTTCCCTGCTGTCTAACATCCGATAGATCAAACGATTGATCAAGTGCATTCTACATAAAAAAATCTGCAACCGTCTTTTGCCGTGTACAAAGATTTCAAGGGCTTGTTTTTCTCTGCTTAGCTGTTCCTCTCTTTTTTGACTCTTCTTTCCTCAACCGCTTCTGTCCGTCCCTCTGTTACACACAGGACGGACAGGCAGCAACCATCGGACGCACGGTACTGACAGGCATAGTAGTAGTACAGTAGCTAAGATGTTGATGAAGATGTCAATCCAGGGAGAAAATGTGATAAATTGAGCATTAATGTGTGTCAATATACCAAATGTACGTAAGAAAACAAAGGGAATGGGTGTTTTGATGTGCATCACACACTGATGGCGACACTACCTTGACTGCCTTCTCTTACATTCCTCTCTATCTACTGCTCACTATAGAGTAAACTACTGAGAGTTTCTTATATAGGACGCAGTGTATGAGTGAGCGAGGGAGTGATTTAAGACGAAGGCCTAAATAAGATTTCCAACTACCAGTGAGTAACAGTAATGTAAGTTGTAAGGCTGCAAACAAAATCCCACCCTCCCTTAACTACCACAGAGGTAGTTAACCCATAGCTGCCCCACTCGGTGGCCAGTAATGGATTGCTGTGTATTTACATGGAAAGAATAGGCAACTGTTAGAAGATGCATAGGGAGTTTACTTAACAAACAAATGTTAACATACCTAATTAAGTTTCTCTTCTTTTTTTTCTTTTTTACTTGTGCGTGCTAATTCATTTTTGTGGTTTATTATTTATTCTGTGGTGCCCCTGTGGAGCAGAGCAGCTATTTGATGTGAAGCTTTAAAAACAACAGACACTTACAAAAGGAAGTAATCAGCAGCTCATTATAAAGGCTAATAGCTAATAAATATTTAACGACTAGTTAAAAGTTCTGAATTCTCACTCGTGTACTCCTGGGGGGACATCGGAGCACTCATGATGTCGCTGAAGTGTTTCACCCAATCCTGCTGGTCGCTCTCCATCTCGCAAGTAAACAGGAAGAGGCGCTCGGGTGTTTCTATGGTGATACCGTGTTGCCAGGCGCCGTTGCAGTGGGTGCCAGCGGGCAAGCCGAGGAAGACGTTGTAACCGTGGTCCCTGTTCCCCAGGAAGACTTCACCTTTGGCGAAGGCGTCCTTCAGACAGACGGGGAGTGAAAGAGAGGGAGGTTAACTGTAGAGCGCAGACTCCCCATCGTGGTACTGTGCGTTTGTTGGCACAGTGGGTCTTTTGTTTAAGATACAACTGGCACACAATAATGACACCATGATGATTAAACAACAGCTAGGCCAGACTGTTGAGGTGTCAGCCGCCTCAGTAATGTTAAGAGTAAATGAATTCAGGACACTGTGACAAAAAGTGTCAGTGTTTTTTTTCACATATATATATATTCATAAATAATCTGCTAATTATTTCTTGATTCATCATTCAATCAATCCGTGTTATAGTACAGTGAAAATGACCATCACAATTTCCCAAAGTGAAAATCTTCAAATTGCTTGTTTGTCTGAAGTGCTCCAAATCCCAAATGTATTTTACTGATTATTGATAATAAGAAAAGCAGCAAATCCTCACAGGCTGAAATGAAATGAGGCAAATGTTTTAAAAGATTAATAAATTGTCAAAATATTTACAGATTAATGTTGACTAATCATTCACTCAACAGACATGTGTTCCCCTCTGTATGAATCAATCACTGTGGAGACCACGTCACTATTCATCCGGCGCCATCTTCAGGTCGAAATTTAAATTTGGTTTATGACTAAATACCTGCAAAATTTATGACATTCCCATCAGCCTCAGCTATAATTTGAGTTTAGTGCCTATTAGCAAATATTAGCATGCTAACACTCTCAAACACAATTATGAACATGGTAAACTTGATGCAAAAATTATTTTGCAAATAAATAAATAAACCTGCTAGCAGCTGCGAGCATGTTAGCTTATACAGTCTCACAGAGAGAGGCTCTTACAGTCTTCTTAACAATAAAACTCACGTATTAATTAGCTCCACTGCTAATGCTAACATTCTCGACAGCTTGTGAGCAAATCAGATTCTCACGATTCTGGGCATTTACAGGGTTTTACAAGCTTTTACTCGTGTAAAATTTTTTTTTGTCAGCTGCCCTTCACAGAGGAAGTGAGAGGTTAGATTAAAAAAAAAAGTGCTTCAAGCGGCTTGCTAAAACAGAACCTGCTGCAAAAAACGCGAACGCATTGCACTTACATACAGAGAACCATTGTATACAACATCTAACGTGCATAATTTAGTTATTATCCAAATGATCCGATTACACTTGCTTTGAGCTTCCTCCTCATATTCCCAGGCCACACTCCACTTCACTAGACTTCCTCTTGCTTTCATCTACCAGTTTTTCTTGTCTGACACTCTCGGGGCAAGTCGGACATTTCAGTCACTTAGCACCTATAATTATTGCACCTCTCCATTGAACTATTACATCAGCAACAATGCGGAGCTAATCTGCCTTGGCTATCTGATGTGTATTTAGCCAAGACTTGGGCAATCTGAGCCGCCCACTCTTCAGGCTTTCTGTCTTAAATCTCTGTGATAACCACTGCAATATAAACTCCCCTCTAATCATTTTGTGAGTCAGAGTTTCACTTTCACAACATCTCTACATTTCAAACACTGATATCAGACAAATTAGGCAGAGGTTTGCACATAACGTCGCGTCGCCTGTAGGAGCGTACAGCGTAGCTTGAGGGTTAGCACATCGCTTTACTCCGAGGAAGTCCATACTGCGGATTCATGGCAAGGAAGGCCATACTGTATGTATAATGACGTTACGTTGGGAATGAAAGTACCTTATCTCACTCTCTCCCCCCACTGAGTCATGGCTTCATATCCTCCACATCGTCTACTTAATCTAATTTACTTGATGGAAAAAGAACTCCTGTTCATTTATATCTTTTTACAGCACAAGAATACCATCAGAGCACTTTTACTGGTAGTGTGTGATCAAGAACCTGAACCATAGTAAAGGGTCTAAAATATAAAGTGATGCTGAGACTAAAGTCTTTCCAGTGTGTCTTTGTGTGTGTGTGTGTGTGTGTGTGTGTGTGTGTGTGTGTGTGTGTGTGTGTGTGTGTGTGTGTGTGACATACCAGTGGATCTTTGAAGTACATGAGTCGCCTCTGGTCCAGAGTGAACCAGCGTTTCTTGAAGCCTTCCGTTTGCTACAAATGGACGATAGAGACAGAGAACGTCAGAGAGAGAGAGAGAAACTGTATAAAGACACTATACAAAGGTGATGTCCACCTGGTTTTAAATTAAATAAATTGATATAATATTTAATAATATAATAATTTAATATATAATTTAAAATAATTTTGAATTAAATGACTTATACTCTGCTGTCGCACTGAGTGACACTGTGACTCAGGTTACCACTATTAATCATCAATTATCTTTTCAAGTCATCATTCAGTTTGTAAAATCTCAAAATAATGCCCAAAAAGTTCCCACAGCCCAAAATGACATATTCAAATTACTTTTTTGTTTTAGTCTGACCATCCATCTAAAACCCAATATATTTTCATTTTACAGTTACATAAGGCAGCAATGACTCACATTTGAGAAGCTGGAACCAGCAAATGTTTAATTTTTTTTTTCTTAAAAAATGACTTTGACTAGAGCAATTAATCAACCATTTCAATTCTAAAAGTCAGTCATTTTTCTATCACCAGCAATGATAAAGTACTGAAAAATAGAAACAAATCACTCGTCCCCTGCTCTTAAGTTTTCCATCTAACCCTAACCCTGATTCTATTTGTAGCCTTATTCAACCACTTAGTCGGGAATATTTTCCTTTGGCAAAGCAAGGCGGATTTATTCGTACAGCACTTCATCAAACAGAGAGGTTATTCAATGTTCTAGACGGAAATAAAAAAGAAGCATAACAAATAGAAGTAAAGATAGTATGAAAACAGATTGTAAAACAGGTAATACATATCTAATAAAATTGAAGTGTTAGAGTTAGACCATTTAGTGACCTATAGACAGAAAGTAAAACTTTGAATTCAATTGTATTTGTATGAATCGCTTGTATAGTGTTCTGTTGTAATTGTAACTTGACCATGAAAGTGCATTGAACCTGATCTCAGGCTTAAAAACAAAAGGTGATTTAAAATCATACTTCCTTGTTTGCATGGTTTATCCCTGTCTGAGTGTATATTCCACCACTTTCATAACACTTTGATATTGAATTCAAAAAGGCTTGTCGTCTTGTGACTTGTCACGGAAGAAAGTTTATATCAGTGCATCGTTGTTTCAAATCCACACCAAGGAAAGTAAAGTGTAGCGCCATTGGAGAGTTTATTGAAATGCACGAGCTGCTTGATTTCTTTTCAGCTTCAAATAATGAGGACGCTCAGGTCCCCCGACTGCTGCCAAATCATCCTCGTAAAAGTGTTTGATATTCTCGTTGTGGCGTGAGCCTGAACAACTGACTGTTTCCTTCTCAAACCGCGAGTGACTCCTTCCATAAATATGTCTCGCGCGTGCGAAGGAAATGAATTATGGCATCCATTTAGCAAATCGGCCCCGATGCAGCAGGTGAGCGAGTCCTTTCATCTCTCAACCTGATAGACGGAGATTAAACAGAGAGTCTGCGTCTGTGTGTGTCTGAATGCCGAACCGGTTGTGTCACTGAGGATCAGGTTTGCTTTGTGTTGCCTGCGTCGGTGCGGTGAGTCTGAATCCTATGTGAGAAAACAACCGCATACATAAGCGTCAGTCCAACTGTGCATTACTGTATGCGTATGTACAATACCTCTTTGCGAGGCTCCTTAATCCCAACATATGTCTGTGCTTTTTGAGTGCGTTTGAGGGGTTTGACACCTGAGGATTAAGTCGATCCTCAGCTGGAAACCTTCCCTCTCAGACAGACTGACAGACAGACGGGTGCTGAGGCAGGCAGGTAGGCCCTCTCAGCTGTCAGTCAGCCTGTCAGGCAGCGGTGGAAAGCAGCCGCGCTGACAGCTGGGCTGGTTACCCTCTCAGCCCAGCTACCATTCAATTACAGCGGGGAGAGTGGGAGATGGGATCACAGAGGGAGATTTGTTAAATGGAAATGTAGTTTGAATCTGAATTTAGATTTCAACCAGGTTTTGATTTTTTTTTTTTTATGCCAGAGTAGAGAATATGACAGGTGGGATTTATCCATTTTTTTCTTTTGTTGATAGCTAATCTATTAATGCATTACTGAACATTAGACAGACAATAGATTTCTGTTGTGACTTTTTTAAAATATATGCATAATCATACAGTTTATACAGTATAATAGCACCACCAGATGATCCACAACACTGAGATGCACTCAATCAAAGGCTTGGATTGAATATTGCGATATTTCCCGTCATAGGCGATTTTTTTCATAACAGAGATTTTTTTTTTCACAGTTTTGCACAGTCTGTTCTGCTGCCAACTCCGAACCTTATTTCACTGCTTTGCTTACTGTACATTGTAGCATGTGACTAATAAAACTTTGAACTGCTGTTTAGTGGCAGCATCACTTACCTGAAACATAAAATACAACAATCTAATCATATATTCTTTAAAAATCAACACCTGAAACATAATAATATAATTATGCATTATTAAAAAAAAGACAACTGAATACACACACAATAATATAATTATAGTTTTACCCGCCACGATAATATCGTATATCGTGATTATTTGGGCTGGACTGTATTGGGATAGTGATCACACTGTGAAGCTAAATTATTAAATTATTACTTGAAATAAGTCAGTTCATAAATAGACTTTACCAAAATTGTAGCTGGTAATTTGAGATGGAAGTTTTACTATAAAAATGGGTGAATTAATAAATTAAACATTTGAGATTTTCCATATCCATGCTGCTCTTGATAATTACTTCAAATTACAGAGCTCCCTCTGCTATTTTCCCCCCATGTAAATATTGTTTTAATTTGACTTAATTGACAACATTTGCTGTGATTAGTCCTTCCAGGGGAGGTCTGGTCATTCTTAAACACATGAGGAGATGCAGAGAAAGAAGGAGAAGAGGAGTAAACATATGCAAGTGAAAATGAATGTTCACAGTCTGATCTGTGTGTGTGTCACTTTACCCTGGGACCTGTCTTTTCCATGTATCCTTCCTTCAGAAAGTTCCGGGTAAGTTTGGGCACCAGCTAAAAGGAACAAGCAAAACAAAAATGGATTAAGAACAGCACGAGGACACAAAGGGTTTTCAGGGCTGTTCAGAGAGAGAGAGAGAGAGCTAGCGAATGTGTTCAGTAGGTACAACTACACTAATGGAGTTCCATCCATCTCAATTTGAACGCCTCACTAACACCAAAAAAAAAAATCAATATATAAATGGCTAAATATAATTTTAATCTCAGCAATCATCGACGTTATGTGTGTGTGAGTGTGAGTGCTCACCTCAGCATCTGTCGCCCCGGGAAAGGCCACCTTTAGATAGTGAAGCTGAACTGCACGGATTGAGTTAAACCAGTCAACGACCTCCTAATGAAGAGAGAGAGGTACAGACACAGAGAGTGAGGAGGGTCCTCCGCGAGTTAAAGAGAAGATGATACCAGTCTCTAAATGTGACAGCGCTCTGACAAAGACATCACATCACAAATACTACAACCATGATTATTTTGGTTACACAGACCTGTACTTGCTTCTGAAAGCTTTTCAGCCATACGAGATAACAAGGTGGAAAATTATGTCATAGATACACAGCCCCCATGCAAAGGGTGGTGATCAAGGTGGGAATAATCTTCCTTATTCTATTTGTAGTTCAGATCAGTAAAGTTTCTGCATTTCCTTTAGGTTTTTTTTTTTTTCCTGTTTCTGATTATTCAGATCAATTTTATGTGTGTTTGTTTTCCACAGAGCCTCCGTGTTGAGGCTTGAAAACGTGATTTCATTTGCATACTTCATTCATGGGTCACTACAAAACAATGTATTTAATGCTTATATGCAATCAACATACATGTGGCTGACCACAGAGCAACACCTGGTTTTCAGGTATATTTTAACATGTTCTATCTATTTCTAATTTAATCCATGAGTGAAACCAAAATTGCCAAATATTCCTATAGAGTGTGACCTAACCTCTAGTTCATATTGATGTCTACTTGGGCTACGTTTAGATGAGCATTTGAAAATTTAGGCAACCCATGCACATGAATTTTTTATATTTTTGAGTTTGTATTTGCTGTCTGTAAGTTGCCAAACATGGTTTCTTGTTGATTGTTGCTTAAAGAGCTTCAGTCATCGTTTTGTTTACAAGACAAGAGGTTATAATTCACCCTCTGAGCAGCGCTACGTCTTCGGGGGCAGATTGGAGTCGCACAGTCGGTCGCTATCAGAGCGTGACGAGACGGGCCGGGGCTAGCTGGTTAGCAATGCTAACTTCAGTAGAAGCAGAAGTTACTCCGTGATAGCTGATGATGCTGTTTTCGCATTCAGCTCACAGACAACTTCTCAACCTGACGACAAACACTGACCTATTCCATATATTTTCAATGAGTGTTTATGAATGACACAGGATGATGGATGTGGAGCTTGAATGTCAGGTGCTAATGGATTCCATCAGCCAGTAAAATTAGTACAAATGGTTTTAAAAGGTTTGGAGACTCGCCCACAACGACATAAACAAGTCCCTTTATGTGACAGGTGACAGATATCACATGCGGCTGCCAACAACAGTTCAGTTCTTTTATCAACATTATTTTGGATTTTACCGTAAGAGTGGAGAAGCACTCATTCTCTGTATTTCTTTCTCATTTTCCTCTCACACACTGATCACAACACAAAAGATTTCAGACGGACCTTGCCGTTTTCATGGTAGATGAAGACGTTGCGGGTGCTGTAGTCTTTGAGGTAGGTGATCTGCAGGCCGTTGGGGTTTCCTATCTTCTCTGGCTGGAAGGTTGCGTTGATGGTGTCCACCTTGATCACTGCTTTGGGCTCCTTAGCCTGCAGGAGGGAGGGAGGAGGTGTTGGTGTGAGATGCAGGGGTCAATAACATTTTGGATTTAATCCAAGACTGGTGACTGTAAATCTGTCATTTGGGGATGAGGAAATGTCAAATTCATGCTGTTTGCTTAAGGTGAGGCTTTAAGAAGCAAATCAAAAGTAAACAGGTTTTTTTCAATCAACAATGATGACCCATGGTTGGTAGAAAAATAAAAGTGGAATGAAATTTTTGAAAAAGTGTACACTTTAATTTCACTGTCAGAATCAAATGAGTTGAAAATCTGTGACAGCAAACTACTTCTGTGACTAAAGAAGAGATTTTTTAGAAAATGTATAGATTCATGTTCCATGATGCATCTTTTAATCTTGTTGTTTTAGATATAATCCTGCAAACTTTTTAACCTCAGAGCTTTGTTGATATTGGCTTTACTTCCTCATTGTATATATCACTTTCATTAGCAAAAAAATCATTCAGACAAAAATGTACATAATGTCACTGTTAGTCCCTACAGAGATCTAACTTCCTGTTCAAGCCATCCAGAAAATGATTTGGGCTTTAGGTTGAGTGGGGCGACACGAGAACTTCTGTCAAGAGATATAGAGCATATAAAAATCTATTGTATTTACCATGTTTACCAGCTGGGGTCTCTGAGACCCCAACCGGAAGTGCTGCCTCATTTTCTTTAGAGGACTTCTGAAACATGTCATCAGTTCAAAATCATGTTAATAAGCAATTCTCATAAAATTAGAGAACGTGTTAAAACCATGTTAAGTTTGAGAATAGAATCGTCTGGTATCAAGGCCCGGGGCTTTATTTCGTGCTTTTTCTAACCATGAAAATATGATCTATGACTATTATCCACACATCAGCCTGCATCACTGATAAAACACACACTAATCCCAGAAAACCTGTTTGAGGATTGCTGTGCTTTACTCTGTCCTGACTTGAATTTAAATGGGCACCAATGGGACCAGGATCTGTCTGTGTGTATCTTCATCTGTTGACTTGAACAGAAAGACATGGACACATATATGCTTCTTTTTTCTTTTTTTTTTTTTACAGGATCAGATTTTACACTTTTCCGTCATTGTGAGAAGCCGACCAACTCACCTGAGTGGCAGCCAGCCACACTTTGACTTTTATCATCGCTGTGACTGTATGAGGATGGTTTTTTTTTGTTTTATTATTTACTATAGCACAGTGACCAGGAGAATAAGAAGCTATATAGTGAAATATTTTCACAGAGAAAACAGGAAAAATACTCACCAACACACTCACATCGCAGACGGAGTAAAAACCAGAGTAGCTGTACTTTCTCTGGTCTTTTTTTTTTTTCTTTTTTTTTAAATATATTATTCCCACTTCTCCTGAGCTGGTTTACTGTGACAAACAAAGTGTTCCCAGTGCTTCCAGCCCCTAATTGGTTTGGGTGGTGTACGGCTTAGTGAATCAGCCACACTGACAGCGAGGACAGACTGCTGGTTAAGCTTGTCTGAGCACGCTCACACTCAGAGGAGGCAGCATTCGCCACTTCATTTTGTTGTCTTTTCTGTTCGGTGTGTGTGATTTTATTTATTAAGTTAACTGTGTTTATGTGTGTAAAAAATACTGCAGTGCATAATGTGGGGGTGTTGTCTGCAGTCTATTTTATGTCTTTTAAGTGCTTTTTAATTAAGGTATTTGTGATGTGGTTGCCTGGGTGTGTGGGTTCTGGAAGTGAGCAACTACCTTCAAACTACATTAACTAGGACACTGTCTAATTACAGTAGGTTACTGGTGTCCTGCGGGCATGGTTATGTGTGGGTGTGTGTGTAGGTAGTGTGTGTGCATGTATGTGTGTGTTTGTGCTTCATGTGGCCACTGCAGGTCTCATTAAAAGCTGCAGCTTACGTCATATTTGGTGAAATACTTCAGAGTCCCCTCCCTCTCCGAGAGGACGAATCGCCTGCTCAGGAACTGCCCGTTGTCCCGCCCTCTCTTCATCAAAACGCCATCTCTAGTTCCTGCAGGAGACCGGCAAAGGTCATTTATTAGCATGAGTGTGATCCTGTGCATGCAATTGTGTGTGTGTGTGTGTGTGTGTGTGTGTGTGTGTGTGTGTGCAAACCTACCTTCCTCATATGTAAAATTCTTCCCCGGTTCAGAGAACTCTTTCCTCTCGTACTTTGCTCTTATCCACTGCTCCCTCAACACCCTGAAAACACACAAACAGAAGACACGTCACCGGAGCCGGCTTGTAAAAAGCTACCAGATGAAGGATGACTAACAGACTTGTGTGGTAGATGACACAGAGCCTGAGCTGTGATGCATTAAAGCACAAACCAAGACTGGAAACTATTCTGCTCGAGTAGATTTGTTAGTTAATTTGCTCACATTTTATTCTATTTCAATAAAAGTAAACCATTTTACACATTTTAAAAGAGTATAAAATAAAAACAAAGGAACAAAGCAACCCAGCAACTTAAAGTTCCCACATTATAAAGTGAGATTTACAAGTCTTTTTTGATTATAGATCAGGTCTAGGTTCTATATTAATACTGTGAAAGTATCAAAGTGCTCAGTCCACAGAGGAATGCACACAACCTGTATTCAGACACTGAGCCTTAAAACCAGCCGCCAGGACTTCTGTAACTTTGTGATGTCACAAATCAGTGTCAGTGAAACCACATCAGAAAACAAGTTCAGTTGAAACTCTGACCTCATTTTAAAAGCAAACCTGGCTCAAGGACAAAACACAGTGTCAAGAAAAATCTGTGTACAATTCACTCGCTCATCCTTGTGTGTCTGATCCCAATCGGATTCTTACACCACACTGGTTTACTCTCAAAAATGTCTAAAGACAGTGGCCTCTGAGAATCTAATGGATCAGGCTGAATCCAGCTGATTCAGCTCCTTTTATACACTGAACCAAGAAGGACAAGGGAGAGTGTGTTTCTTCTCTCTCTCTCTCACTCCCATCTTCCTCTAATGATCAAAGAGGGATCTACACACGTTTACAAATATGTGTGTGTGTGTGTGTGTGTGTGTGTGTGTGTGTGTGCGTGAAAAAGTAGGGCGTGTAGATTCAAGCTGCCCTCAGGCAAATTTTTACAGATATAGTGGCGAGCTGCTGCTGCTGCTCCTTCCATTCAACACACACTCACTTTTTCAGCCCAGCAAAGACCTCATCAAGCGGTGGGTATAACTTGGCTGTGGAAACTTACTGCATTATATGTGTGTGTGTGTGTGTGTGTGTGTGTGTGTGTGTGCGCTTCATTTTATCCAGTCACCTGATAAGGTCTGCTCCTTTCCAAAAAATTCCCTGCTTACTGGTTAGCATTTAAACAATTCCTAACATTCCTGTCTGGAAGCTGCCCGATGAAGCCAGTCACTCACTATGAGACAGGCATAGTGTCTCATAGTCAGTGTGTCTACGAGTGTCTCATAGACTCACTACGACCCCATTCACACCTCACTTTAAAATGAGTTGTGCAATCAGATAGTTCTTGACCTCATGAAAGTACAGGTGTACATGCACCAAGGATGCACTGAGGACGGATTGTGAACCAATCAGCTAACACATTGTGACCACACTGAACAAAAGTGTTGTCAATCCACATTCAACAACTACGTGGGCGGAAACACACGTCTGTACCAAACCCTTAAAGTAGCAGCTAGGCAGCTGGCCGCCGTTACATAAGATACGCAGGTTAAACTTTGTTCATAAGGGTTAGGGTTGGCATGCTAGTTAGCATGCTAGTTAGCATGCTAACGTGGCGTGCTGAAGTAATGTGTCAAAGAATCATGCTTTCACAAGCTGCAAACACTCACACTCGTTCACATACCTGATGCCGAAAGGAATTAGTCACTTAATCATAAAACAAAGTAACAACAGAAGAAAACCTTGAGAATTAAATATGAAAATCACGTTCCGTGCCTTTAAAACGTCACTCAACAACAGCTTTTGTCAACAACGCTTTTCGCTGTAAAACGTCACAATCAATTCCATGTAATTGCAGAGACCAGACTGAGCTGCGGTTTAAAAACACAGAAGAAGACGGAGAGAATCAACAACATTTGCTGGAGACCAGAAACAAAACTACGCAGGTGGAGAAAGTCAACAGACTGATAATGTTCAGGCGGGAAACGAGGCAATGTTCTTTATCAGGAACATTAAAATCCTCCAACTAAAGGTGAAATTAAGCTCATGATGTACCAAACAGACACACACACACACTCACACACTCACACACACTCTTACCTCATTCACTTTATTATCATATTTCTGTGCTGCGTTAACTGTAACAAATTGATACAAGAAATTCACTGATGCAAATAAAATGCTCCATCACACCTCCTCTTATCATTGCTAATAAAGATGATGAGGTGAATTAACATTCTCTGCAACCTGTCTATTATTATTGAAGAGGAAAAACTGCTTTGGATAATGTCCGCAGTTGAAATGTAGCTACTCGGTTCTTTCAGGCCCGTGCACTTCAAGGTGTATTTTGTAATTTTACAGTTTTAATTCAAGGTAAATACTAAGATTCAAGTTGAATTTAGTGTTGAGAAAACTTACTTTTAAGAAATGAACAGACAAAAGTTTTGATAAGCAGTTAACTTTCACTCAGCTTCTCAAATTGTCTCTGTTTCACATCACTGTCAAATTCTCGACCGTCGTTCAGATAAAACATTTGGCATTTTATTGATTAAATGATAAATCAACATCAATAGCGACATTGATCTGGAGATCTGACTGAGATGTAACTTCAGTCAATTTAGTCCAACAGTCAACACTCACCGCTATAAGACCGACAGAAACCATGACGATGACAACAGCTGATAATCAAGATTGTCAGTTTTTCCATCAGTGTCTGTTACTGGGCGCGCTTCAGAACCACAATCAAAAAAAAAATTGAATATCAGAGTCAAAACTCAGGCTTGAATCCCCTTTATAATCTGTGGACTAGCTTGATGAAGCAACTTTTTTTTTACCCACAGTCCCTGCACAACCTGACCGAGCCTGAGCAACTCTACCTTTTAGAAAAAGCAGAAAATCCTCAAATAGAGACGAACTGAAGAACATGTGACTCACAGCCAGAAGGTGCTCCTGTAGAGCTCCGAGGATACGTCTGTAATTCACACTGAAGCATTTCAAAGGGAAGTACGAGGGGAGCTTACTGGTTTGTAAAAGGCCCTGGGCCTCAGAACAAGGCCTTCAGTCCTGCAGCATGGCAGGAATTATATTTCAAACACATCTTAAAAACAGAAATATCAGCTCTGTCATTACAAATCCAGCTCCCCACTGAAATTATTATGTTGTTATTGATCAGGCTCTACAGAAGCTCTGAGAGGCAAGTGAATTTTTTTTTTTTTTTTTTGCCCCAGAGCCATTTTTCTAAATTTTAAATAAATAAAAAAATTCTGTTTTTTTTTTGGTTTTTTTTCTGAATCTCTGAAAAAATAAGTTTTCGTTGTTTTTTTTCATCAGTGAAAACAAGCCCTGAGAGGGAAGTGAGGGTTGTTTAATTTTTTTTCTCTTGCCTTTCAGGGCTTCCGTAGATTCAACTTGTACTAACTAGAGAAATCCTCCGCTTCTCCTTCCCAATTCACCTGCTTTACTTAACTGCAGTTGGAACTGAGAGTTGGGCTGGTAAACTGGTTCTTGCATGTTCACGTTAGTTAACGACAGCTGCATGCAAACACACCTGATACACAGGTACACCAACATTTAAATGTGTTCAAAACAGGAAATGTATGAATTGTACATTTTACAAAATATACGGTGTGTGTGTGTGTGTGTGTGTGTGTGTGTGTGTGTGTGTGTGTGTGTGTGTGTGTGTGTGTGTGTGTTGCCATGGTTACTCACTGACAGTCTTTGTGGGTTGGTTTGTAGTAGTAGACTGGAACAGCGGCCTCATATTTACTCTTCATCAGCTCATTACCATTCTCTGCCATGAACTAACAAGGTACACACACACACACACACATGCGCGCGCACACACACACACATGAAATAGCAAGAGATTATTCAAGGATGAATAACACCGTGGCACATTACCAGACAGTTTTATCAATGCAATTTGTTATGTGCTCAACGGGAGAATACACTCAACTGAAATAAAAATCTTTATTGACGTTGCAGGAAGCTAATAAATCACAGAGCTGAGATGATAAATGCAACAAATATCTTAAGATAACGATGTGCAAGGTACTGACACCATTTATCATTCAGTTTCTGGGAATCACTGGGAAATGTACTTAATAAAAAAAGTGATGTCCTAACATTTGAAATAATAATTTATTTCCCCATGAAAGCTTTAAAATAAAAAAAAACTGGAAAAGATTTATCTCTCATGATGCCGTTTCATTTTTTACAAATTCCAAATAGGTAAATTTGTTCATAGTGTACTCTTCTATAATCAGTGCTGTAACTAAGGTTGGTCATCAACAACAGACTGTACCAAATGTCATGTACCAAATACTTTATGAGTAACGTCATATAATAAACATTTCAACTTTGTGTATTAACCTCGACACTGTACATAAACTAAAAGCTATAGAAACAAGTTATTCGGGTATTTAAAGTTTCTTCGGTCTGTTCATGCATCAGCATTATAAATATACACGCTGTGCATACTACAGCATGTTTCCTCAAGCGACACTGTGTTGTAAAGTAAGAGAAAGGACCTGGATCAATCAGCTATAACAGAGGGAAAGACTGTCGGTCCATGTGCTCCATGTGTGCAAGTCTTTACTCCAGGCTGTTAATCTGCCTTTCCAACTGTCAACAAAGACTAAAGGCAAACACTTGAAATTTCACAAAAATATAAAACACTAATCTGTGTTTCTCTCTGCTGAGAGGAATAATCCGTCTGCCTGAAACTACACAGTGTGATGGATGAGAACAGATATGAAAACACCTGCTGCTAGAATCTATTAATATTGGACAAGTAAGTGTTATTTTTTAGTGTCGGGATCATTCCGGTCATTATTCATGCTGTCATGAGACAGAGAAAAAAAAATCATGTGTAGCTATGGAGAGTTATGCAAACTCCCTCTTTTCAAAGTGACAGCACTTTTTTTTTTTTTAAATTCACATCAACATCAAGTGGCTGCATTAAACCTGTCGCAGTGTATTTACGGTCAGAGGAATGAGGCGTCGAAATCTAAGGGGTCGCCATTCAGGAGACGATCGCTCAACGTTATTTCAGCCAAACAAACGGAAGAGGGAAGGAGAGGGTCGCAGGAGCCGATGCAGGACTACGAGGCTTGAGTTCTGGGAACTCAGTGTGCACTGGTTTTCTTCGCTGATAAGCAAAACCGCAGCTCTAATCAGAGAAATCATCTGGTGGCTCTCGCTGACGTGTGATCAGTCAACCGCGAGTGGAGACGAGAAAAAAAAAAAAGAAAGAAAAAGAAAAGCAGAACGAAAAACATGTTCTGTAACTGTGATCAGCACAAGTCTCCACACAGAGGTTTTAGCATTCAGGAGGTGACTGAAGACTTTTCATTCACTGACTAATCATTTACTTTATAAAATAGTGGGAGATTCAGATCAGAAGTACTGAGATTATAAAATCATTTCATGACATGATATGATGAGTCAGAAGAAGTTTCTACGTTCTTTATGAAATATAATATTAGGCTTAAAAAGCTCTTTGCAAATTTCATTGCAGAAACCCAATTTTCTAGTTTTGTCCGAGTCTAAATTCAAACAGATTTAATGGTCATCAGGAGAAAAAAAACTGTTTATCAATCAATCAACTTTTCAAATTATAACCTCAACTTCATACAGTGAGAATAACCTGTTCTCACCTGCATCTCGTGGTCCTCCCAGCGGGACAGACTCAGGGACTTGACCTTGCTGATGTCGGGGATGTTGCGGTGGATCCCCGAGCAGGCCAGACAGATGAACACCCCCAGGGAGCAGGAGCCCCACCCAGGATCTGCAGAGAGGAGGACGGAGAGAAGACGTGATGGATAGGACGAGATATGGCGTTGTGAGTAAAGAGGGAGAGGAGCTGAGGATCGAAAGATAGATGGGCTGGGAGTTCTTAATAAAACAAGCTGTAAATACCTGGGAGAAAGACTGATTCGTCTATTAATTAAGTTTTGATTCACTGATTAAGAATCTAGTCAAAGAAATGGTGGAAAATGAGCATCAGAAGTCCTGAGACCATCAGACCATTCCATGACATGAAATGATGAGTCAGAAGAAGTTTCTTTATTCTTTATGAAATATCATATTAGGCTTACAAAGCGCACCGTCTTTGCAAACCAATTTCATTGCAGAAACCCTGAGGTGACGTCTTCAATTTGCCAGTTTTGTCCGAGCAAAAATTCAAACAGATTTAATCAGCGAAGTGAGCGGGAGAAAAAAAGGCAGCAAATCCTCACATTTGAGAAACTGGATCAAGAGGATGTTTTTGCTTTAATACTGATTATTTGATCATCAGAATTGTGGGTAATTCATTTTCCGGAAATAGACAAAGAATCACTCCAGGACTAGGAACAATTCCTCTGGGAATACACAACCTTTTTGAAAAGAAAAATGGATGATACATATGCAGAGCTAAAAAAAAAAGCGCTTTGCTTGGGGGACCTAAAAAAGTAACTGCTTTTCACTTTCCCCAGTCAAGTCTGAATCTGACGGGAACCTTGTGCTCACGAACCTGCTTCAGATTTCAGAACATCGGCCCGATCACTGTCACACAATTAATTATGCAGCCTGAAACCTTCAAGGTTCATTTATCTGCCTTTTATTTCCCCTCTTTGAGCCCTTAATGTAAGAGAAATGTTTCCTTTGCCTTGACCTCACCTGTCTTATCTTTCTAACACACACACTGCTGTTTGCCAGTAAACAGAGTCGTGTGTGTGTGTGTGTGTGTGTGTGTGTGAGACATAGAAAGAGAGAGAGCCTGCCTTGCTCTTATCACCACAGATCACAGACGTCCGAGCAGGGAGAGCAGGTCATTCTTTAATTTTCTAATGGCACACAACAGATCAGAATACGATGTGTTTTGCTATGTCAGTGTTTCACAATGCGAGCTGAAGTAAAACTGGCCACAAGGAAACAAACACCGGCCCTCAGTGGACACAGGTACTATAAGATTTGTGCACAGTGTCACAGGTGTAAACCTTCCTTGGATGAATCACAATTCAAAAGCTGAAGCGCAAGAGCCCGGCAGTGATTTTTATCTTTGTTACATTGCGAAACTACAGCTTCATGTTACCCCAGGGCCTGGCTTCAGGGATTTCCTGATTTGATTGCGAATTATTTGAAATATTACTGAAATCACAATACGGCCAAGTGCAATATCCCAATCACAGGAGCTGCAAATTTTGTTTTGTTTTGTTTTTACTTTCCTTCAGTAACATCTAAACTCTAGGTAAAGTCTGTATTAACTACAAAACCAAGCTAAAAACAAGGCAACTGCAGTCGTTTAGTACTAATCTTTGGGAAGTTACTGTCACTCTGCGCTCTTGATAGATAGATAGATAGATAGATAGATAGATAGATAGATAGATAGATAGATAGATAGATAGATAGATAGATAGATAGCAGCAACAGCTAAATCATGACATGATAAAGAAGGATACCCAGCTAAACTAAAACAGCCAAAAGGTAACTAGCCTACATTAGCAGAGTAGCAGTGATTGTGATCTCAGTTTTGGGCTTTCATGAAATTCCCATGATTCAGTGTGGTTGGGCTACTTTAACATCACATAACTGTTTATTCCTCAGATTGAATTGAATGTAAATATTACAGAGAAACAAGTCGTCTATATATGGACTGTCAATTGCTGATTAATTTAGTTTCTTAGGCAAAAACTACTTCAAATTTAAAGGAAAGATGAAAAAGTACATATTAAATAAGTTCTGTGGTGAAGATTTCTTCAGTAATCAGTAAAATAATCAGACAAAACTGAGGCATTCCAACCTCTCTATCCAGCCTGGAAGCTTTAAACCCTTTGTGTCTCAAATTCACTTCTTTCCTGGTTACTGATTCACCTTTGTAGGACAGTGGAGCTCCTAAAATGTAGCCTACACCCAAAAATGTTTAGAAGCAGCGGCAGGCCTGTGAAGGACCTCCTGTGCAGACCTCCGCTGTAAGGCTCAGAGGGTGAGGGATGAGGGTGTGTGCAGCCCCAGCACTCTGCGTGTCGAGGCTTGCAGACCTCTGAAAGTTTCCTTCTCCAGCAGCCTCCACATCTCAGAACTAAGACTAAAGACTTTAGCTGTGCTGATACCTTCAGGTGCTCCAGGAAAGCTCCGCCCTCTGAGCTCCTGGCTCACCTTCTTCCACACACTCAAGGCTAGAAAACACCACAACATGGGTGACTGTTTTACGTTAAAAGCACGACGCAGGCTACTTTTGTGCTGCAATGATTAAAAAAGCAGGGCACGAGCGTGTGTTTTAACGAATGGTTAGTCCACTTTTACCCCTCTAACGTAGGCCTGTTGGCACGGGTAAATGCTCGGCGCCTCCCATACGTCACATCTCAGCAAGTCGAGATACGTTACAAAGTCTGATTTACACATTTATTACGCTATATAATTAAAACTTAAAAAAAAAAAAAATCATCTTACCGGGTGCGCCGCAGTCTGCGCAGGCGTCATTTCCAGGGATTTGTTGGATCTCCCTCAGCGCTCGCGTGGCTCTCTCATTCGCCGACATTTCTGTGTTCAGATCGATTATTCCTTCGCTTTCAGAGAGAGAGAGATACGGGGAGAGAGAGAGAGAAAGAGAGACCGAGCGAGAGAGGGTGGTGTGGGGCGGGGGGGGGGGGGGGGGCGCCGCAGAGCCACAAAAGGTAAGTAAGGTGTGTCTCCTCGAGCTCAAACCCCCCTCCCCTCCCCTTCCCTCCCCCTGAGTCCTGTTAACGGGCAAGTGAGCACAGGTATGAGCTCTCAGCTGAGGCAAGGTGTAGCCTACTTCCGATTGAAGAGAAAAAAGACTCAATTCAAGGCCCCTTCATTAAGCTTTCAAGGGTGGAAGTGTGTGTGTGTGGTGTGTGTGTGTGTGTGTGTGTGTGTGTTGTGTGTGTGTGTGTGTGTGTGTGTGTGTGTGAACGGCAATGAAACCCTACACTAGGAAGTGAAATGCAGAGGTTGTTCAAACTTGCTTTTCCGCATGAGCCGTGGTTTGGTCAGCCTGCACATCACCAACTGTGCAGCAGGCGAATGTCATTTACCTAACCTGCAGGGAGGGACTTCCAAGAGCACACTGATAATGAAGGCCTGTCACATTATTGAACCAACCTTTAGAACGATGTAGACATCGTTATCAGCAAATGAATAGTCACCTTTCTCCATCTTATTTGTATTAAAGCCTGTTAATTATTACATATCGTTTATTGTTGGTCTGATTTGGATTAAAGGGTTTTCCATGATGAAGCTAAGCCTACTATGATGGGAGTCAAGATGACAGGACGTGGCTGAGTGTATGAGTAGGCTATGCACATGCCCACAGCTCAGTGCTGCCACATTTCAACATCTTATGAGTCATTCTGCTGTAGTGTAATTATAAATCTTTGAGAACACCAGTTTCTTTTAGTGTCTGTCAAATGAAAACGTGGGTAGTTGTCAATTTTACATCTACTTATCACTAAAAAAAGAGGGAAAAGGCTCTTATTCATTGAGTAAAACAATGATTATGTGCAGAGGTAGGAGTAAAGAAAAGTGTTGAGATCCAGCGTGGAAAAGTAGGAATAAAAGGACTGTTACAAGTAAAACTATGAAAAGTAAAAGCACACTGTATGCACAAAAACTGACCCTGTTAGTGTTATATTGTTACATCTTATGCTACTGTATTATCACGTACTTTAATAACATGTTTTATTTGAAGTGGTGATCCATAAGAAGATATATTTGTGGTTTTTAAGAACCAAAAGCCATCTGATGTAGTTTCACATCTGCTCTCTCAGGCTTCTCTCTGGAGCTCTAGTAACAACAGGGTGCTTTGTATCGGTCTCTGAGCCTCTCTTCTGATTGGCTGACTGTTTTCTGAGTGACACATGACCAGGCCAACGACAGGTAACAGATTGTAGCCCACTATTAGAGCTGTTTCGTTGTGACATCACGAAATTACAGACATCGTGACGGCTCGTTTGAAGGCAGTTTCTGAATACAGGCTGTGTGCATTTCTCTGTGGACTGAGCACTTTGATACGGTATTAATATACAACCTAGACCTGCTTTATAATCACACAACACATGGAAACCTCACTAAAAACACCAGTACTACAACAACATAAAAGTCACAAAAATTCTCACTTTTGAAATCCTACTCATGTACTTTTGGCGACACTTTGTCCAAGATTCTGCCCTGTTTCAAAATGACACTGCACTCATGTTCAAAGCCTAAATCTGTACAGAAATGTTCTTCTTTATATTTCCCAGTTTGGAGTGGACGTGCATCTGCACCTACACCCCAAACAACACCTTTGTGATGACCTGGAGCATGTGACTGTAGTCCAGGCTCACCGATGCTCTTGCTGCTCGATGGGAAAAAATCCCTGTAGCCAGGTTCCAAAATCTTATGCAGAGACTTCACAGAGGAGAGGTCATAGCAGCTGATAAATGCTCTAGTTTTAGCCTTCAACTATCACACACACACTCCATTGCTCAGGAAACCGGTACATTTACCACTGCATTCCTGTCAGTCTGCTGCCCGTGGTAGTTCCACGTTCGGTCAGTGGGTGGCAACAGTTCACCACTTTTCTTCCTGGTGGGTTCAGTGCTGTGTAGTACAGGTGCGGCTGTCAGCGCTGCACCTTTGTTAGCTTAAATATATATCTGTCTCTTAACCAAATATCCCTCCCCTCCTTTCAGCACCATGGAGAGTTAAAGATACACATCCATGCTGGGGTTGGGAGAAGCCTGATATCACCAGTACAGATCATTATCAGCAGCTGGTTATACTTGTCCCATAAAAAGAAAATGATATTCTATGGAAATATGAGAAAAAACATTCTCTCTTTGAAGTAACTGAAGTAATTTCCCTCGCACCTGAACAATCACTTCCCCAATTTGGTTGCTTATGGAGACAGATGGCAGTTAGGGCGATTTGACAGTCAGCGAGCAGCCGTGTTTTTCGATGTCATCTTTCAGCGCGTGATTTTCCCTCGTGACAGCGAAAGGCTATTGCCCCGTTACAGAGCTCATTTGTCAACACCGCTGCGGCAGACACTTGCTTGTCTGCTCTCTCACACCCCGGCCCCTAAATCTTCCTTTTCCTTCTGTCAAATTTGGAGTCGGCTGCTAACAACTGTCAAGTCGTGGGTTGGCGACACTTGATTAAGGTTAGAGTTGTCCTCTCAGAGACAGAGAGGTTGAGAGACAACACCTCATCCCTCCCTCTCACTCAGGATGTGTTGCAATGTGATGTTATGATGTGTGTAACAGCGCTAGTCAACTGAGTTACAGTTTATAGTGTGGCTCTCTTAATTTTCTGCTCTTCCTGTCACTTGTCTTTTTCTTTCTCCTTTTTTTTTTTTTTACTTAATTCAGTGAGTGTTATATTGACCCTGCAGTCTGTTCACACCTGAGGCCAAAGGCTACAAAATGAATTACTCTCTTCATACCACAATTACAATCAAATCACAGAAAACCAAGTTTTGACAGTCTGATGTATGGCTGTATATCCCTGTTTATCTATAACAACAATTTCAAGCTAAAAATGCACACTATATTTCTTCTCTCTCTTTCTCTCTCTCTCTCTGATGATGATTTATATGCACACAGTTGGTGGCATTTTGAAGCTTGCTGCGTATGACAAGAACTAAATGGCAGAAAGTCTAGGCCATTAGTATGTGTCTTGCTGGGTGCTTCTGACATATCATGCCCTGCCTTTGAGCCTGGACTCTCAATCTCTTCTGGGAAACATAGACCCATAAATTATGCTACACAAGTTGTCCAACAAAGTTTAAATCAATCATCTGTTCTGCGTATTAAATGGTTGAATATTTTTTATTTGAATAAATTCTTTAGCGCTGACATCAAGTCTCAAGAGAGGGGTGAAACTTGGTATTTATGTTGGTGAGAAAATTCAACCTACTGGAACACAAACTGGGAGTAATAGGGAGCGAGCACCATCAGGCGGAAACTGTATCATCTGACATCAAGAGCAATCGCATCAAACAGGCTTTGAAAAACCTGTGGTTGCCCTGACACGGCTTTCATTAAAACACATGCCATTTTATCCACTGCCTGCATTCTTTATACAAGCAGAACATAACAGCTAACAACACAGTGCAGTCCAGTACAACTGGTTATACAGTGCCTCATCTTCAAAACCCTTTCTCTTGTAAAACTGAAGCATATGTTTGAAAATACGAACGCAAGGTCAAGGTTTCATTTCCTACAGTCAGTTCGCGGTTCATGTAACCTGTCCAGTGTGAACACAAAGTGCTCCAGGGTCGCTTCGCCTTTTTCCCATCGTAGACAGATCACATGCCATCACACTGCGACACTCTAAAAAACATAAAGACGAATAAATAATACCAGAGCTAAGTGACTGTACCCTGCAACACATGAACAATGCTGCTCTTGTATGGATCGGGGAGGACAGATGAGTGAACAAGGGAGAGATTTCAAAAACAGCGATGGAGTATTGATGTTAGCATTAGCTTACGCCAGCTAGCTGCAGATAATATAAAATACTGTAGTGAAAGTCATCATTTTAGCCAGACAAAAGTCATGGTCATCAGCTGGGGATGAGAGGACTACTGTGATTTACTTTTGTGAAAATTACTGCAAATTTTCATGGGGAAAATCTGCGAACGCTATTGCAAACTGCATTTGGAAAGTTTGACAAAAAGGACAAGGGGGCATGGGGCTTAGAGAATGGCCAGTTATCAAACAAATCGTGTAATTTGAGTTATTGTAAATGACATAAATTCATTAACTGAACTATAACTTCATGGCTATTCACAGTCATTCACAGTTACGTGTGCATGAACAGAGGTGGGAGAGAGACGGGAACAGGACAGTGGATGTATAAATGAAAAAGGATGAGAAAGAAGAGAGAGAGAGAGAGAGAGAGGAACTCCAGGAGAGATAGGTGATGTGATGGACAAAAAAAAGACAAGACAGGGAGGCTAAAGGAAAAATAAAAAAAAGGGAGTGAATAAGAAGGGAAAAAGAGACAGCCTGAGAAAAGATGACAGGGTGCGAAAAAATTAGACACTGGAACTCATCCCGAGTAAAAGACAAACAGAGAAAGGATGAAAGACAGGAAAGGGAGAGGACCAGAGTGAGCGACAGAGAATAGGAACCAGGGAGAAAAGAAAGACCCAGAGAGGGGTGGGGAGAAAGCGGAAGAGAGCATATTACTTGTGGCAGACTCTGTCATGGAGTTAATGGGGTTTTGCCACTTCCTATCATCGCAGTGCCTTTTGAACCGTGGCCTTTGCATACAGAAAGATGATTAACTCTCAGCTCTGCCTCCTCCAGGGGCCTCGTCTCCTCTTCGTCTGCAGGACGACTTGTCAGCAAGAGCGCGGTGCTCGCCTCCTTGCTTCTCTGCGCCGCAAACTTTATGTAAGAATCCACCTGTGTAGCTCAAATCACAAATTGACAAGACAGGAAATATTCTCTGTAATTGGGATGTTGTCGATCCCTTCTCTTAGCTGTATCTAAGAGAGGAGAAAAATCCAAAGTCAAAACTACAGTTTCG